CAGTATTACAATCACAGTATTACAGTCACTGCATTACAACCACAGTATAACAATCACAGTATTACAGTCGCAGTATTACAGTCACAGTATTACAGTCACAGTATTACAGTCACTGCATTACAACCACAGTATAACAATCACAGTATTACAGTCACAGTATTACAGTCACAGTATTACAGTCACAGTTTTACAGTCACTGCATTACAACCACAGTATAACAATCACTGCATTACAACCACAGTATAACAATCACAGTATTACAGTCACAGTATTACAGTCACTGCATTACAATCACAGTATTACAGTCACAGTATTACAATCACAGTATTACAATCACAGTATTACAGTCACAGTATTACAGTCACAGTATTACAGTCACTGCATTACAACCACAGTATAACAATCACAGTATTACAGTCACAGTATTACAGTCACAGTATTACAATCACAGTATTACAGTCACAGTATTACAATCACAGTATTACAGTCACTGCATTACAACCACAGTATAACAATCACAGTATTACAGTCACAGTATTACAGTCACAGTATTACAGTCACAGTTTTACAGTCACTGCATTACAACCACAGTATAACAATCACAGTATTACAGTCACAGTATTACAGTCACAGTATTACAGTCACAGTTTTACAGTCGCAGTATTACAGTCACAGTATAACAATCACAGTATTACAGTCACAGTATTACAATCACAGTATTACAGTCACAGTTTTACAGTCGCAGTATTACAATCACAGTATTACAATCACAGTATTACAGTCACAGTATTACAATCACAGTATTACAATCACAGTATTACAGTCACAGTATTACAATCACAGTATTACAGTCACTGCATTACAACCACAGTATAACAATCACAGTATTACAGTCACAGTATTACAGTCACAGTATTACAATCACAGTATAACAGTCACAGTCTTACAGTCACAGTATTACAGTCACAGTTTTACAGTCACAGTATTACAGTCACAGTATTACAGTCACAGTATTACAGTCACAGTTTTACAGTCACAGTATTACAGTCACAGTCTTACAGTCACAGTATTACAGTCACAGTATTACAGTCACAGTATTACAGTCACAGTATTACAGTCACAGTTTTACAGTCACAGTTTTACAGTCACAGTATTACAGTCACAGTATAACAGTCACAGTATTACAATCACAGTATTACAGTCACAGTATTACAGTCACAGTATTACAGTCACAGTTTTACAGTCACTGCATTACAACCACAGTATAACAATCACATTATTACAGTCACAGTATTACAGTCACAGTATTACAGTCACAGTTTTACAGTCGCAGTATTACAGTCACAGTTTTACAGTCGCAGTATTACAGTCACAGTATTACAGTCACAGTTTTACAGTCACAGTATTACAGTCACAGTTTTACAGTCACAGTATAACAATCACAGTATTACAGTCACAGTATTACAATCACAGTATTACAGTCGCAGTTTTACAGTCGCAGTATTACAGTCACAGTATAACAATCACAGTATTACAGTCACAGTATTACAATCACAGTATTACAGTCACAGTTTTACAGTCGCAGTATTACAATCACAGTATTACAGTCACAGTATTACAGTCACAGTTTTACAGTCGCAGTATTACAGTCACAGTATAACAATCACAGTATTACAGTCACAGTATTACAATCACAGTATTACAGTCACAGTTTTACAGTCGCAGTATTACAATCACAGTATTACAGTCACAGTATTACAAACACGATGAAAGGGGGTGGGAGAGTCCTATCCTATCAAACGTGATTCTTTACGAATATTGATTTTTCGTTTTGACTTCTTTTATATTTTGATCAACTATTAAAATTTCAGTAGCCAGTTGGGCAAGGGACATTTCATAACCTATAGCCTGATGGACATTTTGCCAACCATGGGCTAGTGGGCAGATGGCTATTTCACACAGCAGTCAACAATTACCATCACAAGCATAGATAAGAAGAAGAAGAAGTGTCACACATTTTTTATAAAAAATACATTTAAAAAACAATTTAGCGCAAATGTCCGGCCAGAAGGCCCATGAGACACAATATATACAAAGTTATAAAAAACATGTTATAAAATATAAAAAAGCACAAAGTAATTACATATAAAGTTATACAAATATTATAGAGTGTAATGGGCTGGTGGAGGGTGAATAGATTAACCTACACTTTGTCTTCTGTTGTACATTAGTGCAAGAGTTCTCGCTAGAAGCGGTTGTAAAATTCCCGCTTGCATCAGGCAATTTTGCTGATCATCACTGGAGAGACCGTGAAACTGACGTTCCCAAGCACCTGAACAACACAATTTTTTTAGATTCATACGTTTTTCAGGAGCCTGTATTCTTGAAATGACGTCAAGACTGATGGATTCCTGAGAAACTACGGGGAATTCCCTTGCACGAAATACATACAAAAGCATTGTTTCTGATCAATGAGATCCTTTCACCTTGACCTCAGTGTTTTAGCATACATTGAGAAAATAACAGGGAGTTTGACTGTATGATTGTTCACAAATATCCTCGCTACGACCCATCCTAGTTAACAAAACGAAGAAATGCATATCCAGTATCGTAGTATTGATTAGATCCGTGTCTAGACTGACAGTTACAGTCCACAGCCATCTATGAATTTACCTTAGTATCTACTTGACACATCTTCATAATCACCTTTCAACGATCAGCCAAATGACCAATGATGACCAACACATGTAACCGCCACAGATTCATCAACAACTTGGGAAATCTCTCCTGTCTCATTTCTTGCGTCGGCCATTTTGACGTCTTGTAATTGATGCAAATGTATTAGGACGTGCTGTCATTGTGACAACCTTACTGAGGTTGTTCTTAAAAGGCCTTTCTAACCCAGTGATGATATTATTTGAATACATTACTTGTAAACAAACTACAACAGATGTTCCTGTAAAGCAAGTTGAGCATACATACGCTCATGTCACCTCTCTGTTTGAGGAACAGACAGTCCCATGCCTCTAGCTACCTTAATAACAAAGTTAAAAAGAGTCATCAGAAAGATGACATATCCCCCCGGGAGATGTCTGTAAAGTAACCACAAGTAAATGTGCAATTCTGTATGTAACAAGTCAAGAGTTGAATGTTCTTGAAGAAGCATACATTGTTTACCCACAAAAGATCCACCATGGTCGCATCCATATGAAATGGAAAGTAAAACAAGTGTGTTTCTGTGGGGTTTTTTTATGCAAACAAATGACAAATTACAAGAAACAATAACTAAACAAGCGTAAATTCAACAAAGTCATCTATATGCCCCACCCATTTTTACATGTTATGGTCCCAAACAAGGTAACTGACCAAACATTTCTCTTAGCCCATGTCAAAATAGCTGCAATGGAAATTCTAAAATAAACATTTCTAAAACTCCTGAATATCAAATGGCACCAGTTCAGTATGTGCTTTATATATAGACATGCAATGTTTGGCATGGAAATATTTAACAGTTTATTTGTTATATACACTCCAAAAGTGAACCCACCCTATATTAAAACTTAAATCAAACTTGTTGCCATGGAAACATAAATAATTACAAAAATTAAAATTCCTAAATAGCAAAAGGCACCAGTTCAGTATGTGTCTGGTAGACATGCAAAGTTTAGTAAGAATGTATTTAACAGTTTTTGAGTTACGCTCCGGAAACGAACACCACCCTCATAGAACTTAAGTCCAACTTGTTGCCATGTAAACGTACAAAATAAAAATTTCTAAAATTCCTAAATAGAAAAAGGCACCAGTTCAGCATGAGTCTGATAGACATGCAAAGTTTAGTTAGAAAGTTTTGAATGGGTTTTGAGTTATGCTCCGGAAATGAACTCTACCCTATAGAACCTAAGTCCAACTTGTTGCCATGGAAACGTAAAAAATAAAATTTAAAAAAATTCCTAAATAGCAGAGTTCAGTATGTGCCTGGTAGACGTGCAAAGTTTTGTAAGAAAGTATTTCATGGTTTTTGAGTTACGCTCCGGAAATGAACACCACCCTTCCGGAAATGAACACCACCCTTATAGAACCTAAGTCAAACTTGTTGCCATGGAAACGTAAAAAAACAAGAGTTTGCCACTAACGTGGCTATATCCCCCACCCCTGTTGCAGAATTTATGACATAATTAAATCTAAACAAACCCTAACCTTTTTTAACCGAGGTGGAACTTGTCATGGAAATTGTTAAAAAAAGTCCATCTTGCTGCCATGGAAACGTAAAAAAATAAAAAATTCTAAATTTTCTAAATAGCAAAAGGCACCAGTTCAGCATATACCTGACAAACCTGCAAAGTTTGATGAAAAAATATTGAACGGTTTATGAGTTATGCTCCGGAAACGAACCCTACCCTCGCAGAACCTAAGGCCATCTTGTTACCATGGAAACGTAAAAAATAAAAATTTCTAAAATTTCTAAATAGCAAAATGCACCAGTTCAGCATGTACCTGACAGACCTGCAAAGTTTGATGAAAAAATATTGAACGGTTTATGAGTCATGCTCCGGAAACGAAACGTAACGGACGGACGGAGCCCGTTTCTATATACCCCGCCAACTTTGTTGGGTGGGGGATAATAAAAAATTCTAAAATTCCTAAATAGCAAAAGGCACAACTTCACCACTTGAGTGATATAAATGCAAAGTTTGATGAAGAAATTTTTAAGAGTTTTGGAGTTCTTCTCCGGAAACAAACATCACACACAAAGTTAGCCTATGTCCAGCATGCTTTCATGAAATTGGAAAATTAAAAAAATGGAAAAATTAAAAAATAGCAAAAGGCACAACTTCACTACTTAAGTGATATAAATGCAAAGTTTGATGAAGAAATATTTTACGGTTTCGAGTTCTGCTCCGGAAACGATTCAAACGGACGGACATGCCCATAGCTATATCCCCCAGCATTATATGCCGGGGGATCCGGCAAGATCCTGGGTCCAATGACTTTGGCCTTTATCTCTGGAGGTCATGTAAATAGAGTTTTTTGTAATTTCCAATCATTAATGTTCAAGACGTTGTCTACACACAAGTTTATAGGGACATCTACTTTCCAACAAATGCCCTTGACCTTTAACATCATCCAGTGCAAGATCATTACTACAATGATGGTTGTGTTAAAAAAGGTATCCCTACCATACTAACAATAATTACTGATTGAAACTATTTACAAGTCATTTCATGTGTCTACAACCTTCAAAGTGACCTTGCCATTTGACACAGTCATGACATATGATAGGTGTTGACTTACTTCATTTTAGTTACTTTGACTTCATTTTAACTGATAACTTACGAAATTTCATGAAATTTGAACCATGTTTCATAATTTGACCTCTACTGACCTTGACCTTAGATGGAAATCACCCACACATTAGATGCGATCAAGACCCCACTTTAGAAATCATGAATAAGTTTTGTTAAATTCCATCCGTAAATACTTGTGTTATCTTGTACAGGCTTGTTGATACCAAGTTCACACTGGGCCCTTGACCTTCAAGGTCATCCAATCATACCTGTCCTAAGTTGTGGTGGCAGAGCTCAAATTTGAGCAAACTCATTAACTTGAATTTAGCTGGCCCCTCTTACAGGGGCAACTTTAGGAGTTACGCAGACCACATATAATAATAAGACAAATTACTAATACAGGAGAATGTATTGTCGCTAGGAAGTTTTAACATTAGTTACTTCATGTGTTTTGTATTGTCATAAATATTAAATGAGGACCCAGTGTGTGAGCTGGTAAAACCTGCAATCAAACTTATCAATATTGATCCTATAACTTTATCACAGTGTACATAAATCACTAACAATTGCATGCCATCACCCTTTCAAGAAAGTACTACAATGTACTAGAATTACTGGAAGGTAATAAGGTATTCTGGGTATGCCTGGGTATCATTGAATATGATGAACATGCTAGGTCCCGTGACAGCATCAAAGTTGATGTGATTAGCTGGATCTCTAATTGGTGGGACTCTCATTCCACGCTGACCTGGTGTGGTCACGCCTGTCAGCACTCTTGCCTGGAACATGTACTTGTAGCCTTGATGATCAGGTACAGAGTAGGTGCTGGAGGAGGAGTACTTTGCATTCACAGCAAAGTACACTCCATCTCCATGTGCTGTTGCTGTAATGATAAATACATTTGTCATTGTCAAGAACTCATATCCATCATCTCTCAACACCTATAATTTCATTCAGATTAAACAATATCTGCTCACAACCTGTTTTAGTCATTATTAACTGAACTTTGACCTTGGCATTTATTACTGATAGGCTGATTACAAAAAATGTCTGTTATGAGGATCCATCAATAAGCACAGGTTAACTTGATTTACTTGAAACGAACATTAGTCGTTACAGATACAAAGTCTTCAGTCTTCCTATATTGAAATTACTTGTTATGATATTGGCCATGATATTGAGTATTTTTAAAACCAAATCACCTTTGGATTGGGGAGAAAATATGTGAACAGCTGGTTGCTATTTCTGGCTTTTCTTACGATACAAGTACACATGTAATTTTAATCTCTGAGTATGGAACATTGTCCGGCATGCAGTACACAAATACCATTGAATTTGTAAATCATCATGCGTAGTGACGTTTTATTGTAAATTTCATATTATCATTGACCAAATTTGCAAATGGCAAGACAAGCACACAAACTCCTATTGCTCCCACAACCATAACACCAGATGCGCAGTAAAGCAGTGCAATTTTGTGTTTCTTTGGAAAATAAAAATAAAAACAAACGGTGTGGCAGATTTTACGATGATGCGGCGGGAAGTATGAGAACCGGAAGTATTTTTTTAGCCTTGGAATAAGATTTTAAAACTTTTGTATTTTATTTTCTTCATAAGAAAGAATATGCATGCCAAATTTCATCAAATTTGCAGTTCTTTCCACTGCAAAGGTCAGTGTCAGTTACTGGGGGAGTCATGTACATTTTAAGAAGTCCATCACAAGAGACCCTTCATGGATTTCCCCAGGATTCCAAAATAAGTGCCCTGGGCAGGCAAATTGAGCAAATAATCATTATCTTGTTCAATACTGGGATTTTTTATTAATTATTGTTTCCTAAATTAAGAGATATTGAAACAATCAGTGCAATAATGTCAAACTGTGCATTAAAACTCTAACTCCTTATTGCTTCTGTTATCAGGAAACACAAGTCATCTCTAAAAGGCCATAGCAACAGTCATAACCTTATTGCCATTGAATTTGGAAATTTTTCATTCTAATTTGGGAATACATGTATTACTGAATGACAAAGCAGTGGGTGTTTTCACATTGACCTGCAAAAGGGGTAACGGTCATATTGACCAAAATGCAGGCCAGCCTTCTGTACAGTTTTGACCTGTTTGAACTCGTTTTGCTCTTTCATCAAATACTGTAAATGTGGAAATTAATGCTTCTCCAAATTAATACGACTGCTGACCCCTAGCCAAAAATGCGACACAAAATCAATGCGACTCCCCCAACCCTATCCCCAGGGTAATGATACATATCGTTACCTTAATCCAATCAAACAGCAAATAGCACCGCGTATTAGCACAGAGTAGAACACTTCCATGAAAACAATAAACAGTGTTTTCCTAAAGACAAGACACAGTTTATATGTTTACTCTGTTGACTGGCATTAAGGAAGTTCAAAGGCAATAAATTAATTGAACCAACAACAGTTCACTGATTGGTATGCGGAGAAGGTGTCAATAAGCTTGACACGAGTGGGAAGAACTCTTGACCCCAGCAGTGATAACTGACTGGCTGCCCATTGTGTAATTCCTATTCTTTGAATGACATTGTTATATACTTAAATTGTTGCAACTGCTGCTCAATAAACTATGTTTGTGTTTATATTCAAGTTGGTATTTCCGCTATCCAAAGTGTGCAGTGAGGCCGTCTTATTGTTGACAGTCATTTTGGAGACAAAATGCAAAGTTAATTAATGCAAGCAAACACCACTCGCATTTTTCGTATTTAATTCACGCTTGCGTTAATTTCAAGATTTACAGTATCACAAATCGTAGGATGGTGAATCTTTGCCTGGACAATATACAGACAACATAGCTAGTTAAGATCACTGATGCAACAGCTTCATAGGCCTTGTAGTTGGACAGGCAATGTTGAAAACTCATTAAAAATCAAGGACAGGTGAAGCAGACCTGTCAACCCCTCATCATGACAATGTGGGAGATTTGACTTCAAAATGGGGGAGATTTGCCTCCAAAGGGGGAGATTTTTAAGATAGTGAAGATAAGATAATTTCCAACTTTTATTTTTAATAATGTTACAAAGAAAACCAAATATTTTGAAACAATAAATAATCAATAAGTTTCTTATACGTACAGCTTGCTTAATTTCCGTTTGCATTTTCCTCCTCCAAAAATAAACCCAGCACAATCTACTCGATAACTTTCGTTCAAAGATCATCTCAGATAAACGCAAACGGATATTGAAATTTCACAATCAGTTGCTTGACCAGTTGACGACGTGTTCAATCCGACCAGTTGTCAGGCTTCGTTACGATGCAGGTTTTCTGAGTATTTGGCGCGATGTTGGTTACAAAATTCGCCAAAGAAATATCAAATGCATTTATCCTGACGCAACATCGTCGCCCTTAGTTTCAATAAGATATACTGGTTTTTTTCTGTCTGCGGTAGTCTGTTGACAGTCCCATTACTTCGCTTCTTAAATTTCCTAGAAATGTTCACGTTATTCCATTCCAAGAAATGTATGCCATATTTGGAAGTACTATTACGTTTTACTACAATTTATAAATGAAATGAGTCTTGTTGTCGTTGTTGACCTTTCTGACCTTGACGTGTATTAATCTCATTGGTTGACTAGTACTGTTGTATGCAAATTAGATTGCAGATCTGGGACGCAAGCAAACTATTAGCCAATCAAATCGTGTAAAATAATCACATGATACATTCTCGCAAAATTTGATAAAATTCTGTTTTGATATTTTCTGTGCACACAAGTCACGATGTCAGTCAAAAGGAAATTTATAAGTTTCACTTTAAACTTTGACTTTGAAATCCTAGCTGTGAGGAAGCCTGATCGTGTAACTCATTGTTATTTCGACTACCGAATCAACCAATCACGCATAGTGTTGTTTCTGAAGACGGCGCTTGCAGGACATATTTTGTTTTCATTTCCAAGAGTTCAATGACGTAACTTTGAGGTATGTTGATGTTTTAACAAAGTTTCTGACAAATCTGATAACCAATAAAGTCATGTATTACTGGACCGGCCATATGTATCTACGTTCTTAAATTATGGAAGAATAAACACGCTAAGAACATGAAGACAACAGTTCATTTCATGAAGTGATGAATACTTGGCTGATTTTTCATTTCAAGTTCAACCCTTCAGGCACCTGTTAGGACTATCCGAGTTTTCTTAACAGTTTACATTGTTCAATCGTTCACCATATGAATTTAATTACCATTTGATTACTGGACAAAGGCCCATCGGGGCCCCCATGCCGGTGGCTGTGATAAGGGTCGCTCATCCGGGAGCCTACCGGACAGATCAGGACGCAAACTTCCCGTTCATTGTTTTCACTCACGGGACAATGAGGCGATTTTTTTAAATAATGAAGAATTCTGTTTTGCGGGAGAAATAGTCCATCTTGCGGGAGACTGGGAGATTTCATCAAATTGCGGGAGTCTCCCGCAAAATGTGGGAGGGTTGACAGGTCTGGTGAAGTCAAAGGTGGTAGCTGGATCAAAATCAAAATACGCCCAAATCACATGACCTGACAAATAGAAATAATATACATGGCAATATAACTGGAAAGTACTTACCATTTTTTCCACAGTAGCTCCTGTTGAATCCCCCTTTACAGATGCTAGGAATTGCATCAGGTGCTGTCCCGTGCCACAGTATCCTTTCGTTCTGATGTCCAGGAGGGTTCTGCATGTCGAGCTGCTGCTTCTTGGCTAAGTACTGCTGCCACAGGAATTTGGTCTGAATCCGTTCAAGCTAAAACACAAGAAGAATCAAGCCCGACATAATATGAAAGATAGAATGAGAGCATTCACTCAAAACATGATGAGGCCTGTATCCGATTTAGTTCACGGTTTGTTAATTTGGTAATTCTATAAATACCATGGTGACAGTTACATCATGATAAGTCTAGGAACTCACATAATAACATGGTTAAGTGACATTATGGTTTGGAAACTGTTTAGGACCCATTATTCCAATGACCCATCAGCAACCAGTAGAAATAAATAGCTTAACGTTTTTAATTGGACTTTTATTCTACCATTCGACATGTTGACTGACTTGACACATGTGCTTGCAGTAGGCCTGAGACGAGTCCAAATTTACCACCTGGGTACCAACCACCCTATTACCCAAGTACCCACTGTAGATATTAAGAGATTGGTACAAACCATCCAATTTGGAAAAGTTTGATCGTAGCCCTGGCAAAATGTATTTAGATACATGTGTAAAATTTCTGGTCATGCATACACTGAAGGTTATTGCATGAAGTTTTATCTTTATTATAACATATAAAAGTCAGAAAGAATGGGTGCATAGTCAGAAAGAATGAGAACACTAGTGACTTATTGTGTAACCATAGAGTTTTAGACAATTTTTGTCATTAAACAATATATCACGTGCCTAGCCACGGGTACGGGTAGTCCTGTGGGTACCGGGGTCCTACTCAGTACCTCCTCGACCCAAGTACCAAAGTTACCCGTCCCAGCGCTATATTGCAGCACTACAACCACTGAGAAACAGCACAGAATTGAACAAAACAGCACCCAATCAATCTCAAGGCTACAGGAGTCACTTTAGAGTTTCATCTCTGTCTGTCTCATTGCCAAACATCACATTTCACGCAATCTTATTGTCCAACAACACACAGATGAAGAAAAATCTTCTTTCATGCCTCCGTAACATATCCCAGTTATGTTGACCTCTCAAAATATTAAAGTTTGAGTGAATCATATACGTTGACTTTTAATGTACATGGATGCCTTAAAACAGTTTGTTAAAAATAGCACACAAATACCATTGACTTCATGTTTTCATTGACCAAATTTGCAAACAACAAAACAAGCAGAAAAACTCCTGTTGCCACCACGACCATAACACAAGATGCGCAGTAAAGCAGTGTGCATGTCAAGGGAAGTAACTGCACACATTATTGGATCTTACTGTTTTTAAGTATCGAGCATCTTGTGTGTTCGAGACGTGGAATATTTAAGGAATTTGTCTTGTTCTTGAAAATGGAAATACAAACGAAACATACAGCAGACTTTATTATGATGTGGGGCCTGCCTGAGAACCAAGACTATTATTGTTTCATCCTAATATTGTTCAGTTAAGTTAGAACAGGATTTCAGAGAAAAGAGACCATGTTGATGACAAATAGAACACATAGATGACAGATAGAAAAGACACCATATTTTTGGCACATGTTATTGCATGTCGACACTGAAGAATTACATATTGGCAAGCAACATCCAGTAAAATTTGTTTCCACATATATTATTAAATGTGCATTCATTCTTACCTTTATGATAGCTCTTGGTGATCCAACACTCTTCCAGAAACTATGCACAAGTGTTTGATACTCACTGGAATCCATATCAACAACAACATTTTCACAGTCTGAACTTGTAGCAGTCCAATTTGGAGGAGGTTCAAAGATTGATGAACTTCCTGTGAAGAAAGAGAATGTCCAGCTTCCTTTTAATATACCTCTGATACAACAAAGTGTGCAGAATCTGCTATATCCTACAAGAAATAAATATTCTTGAACATAAATAAGCAACAAATTTTTGCTTGAGGTGATTCTGTGTTAAAGTACATTTTATCAATAACTTTGTAATAGGATGACATCATTGCGCTGTTCAAATTACCTCCCCCATGATCTAATGTATCCTTGGTAACACCGTAATATCAATATAATGTCTAACCATGTTAGTCCATGTTAGACCTAAATGGCAGGTAAAGTATCTGTCATAACACAAACACCAAAAGATTCTTTCTTTCCTTCATATGTGTTTTATAATTATTGATTGTCCTTTTCAATAAACAGAACCTCATTACCAAGTGGTTGACAGTATATTCCATATACAGTCAATTCCCGTTGATCCGACATGGTTGGTTGCATATGATTAACACGTATGTCGGATAAACAAAATTGATTCAAAATTCTTTGAAAATGTTGTCCGGAATGGAAGTTGTCAGTTTGAAACTAGTGCCACAAAGCTGAAGATATACTAGACACATGAAGAAACTGTGCACAAAAAAATATATTCTGGATTGAAATACAACACAACAAGAACAAAATGATGCAGACGCTGTAGCAGCTGAATGATTCGACCATAAGAAAATGTCAACGGGACCTGAACAACATCTGTTACGATGACGTCAGAAGATCAAAATAGAGTAGGGGGTAAAACGACAAAGTCACCAAGTCAATAACGGGTATGACCACCCTGTGCGTGAATCACAGCAGTGCATCGGCATCGGTAGACACGTTGGCGCCCGTCACTGAGGGAAATGTTGAACCTCGATTCATCTGTAAAGACAACATTTCTCCACCATATTCGAGGTTGGCGAACATGATTTCCACACCATCTTAGACGGTCGACTCGATGACGGTGTGTCAGGATGGGACGTATGTCCCGTACTGACATAAACGATTCCTGACAGTGTTGGGATGGATACGGCGCAGTCCAGGAATTGTCTGGGACGTCGTTACTGCCGTTTGGAACCTGTGTCGGAGATGTGTTACTCGAATCCATCTGTCCCGTCTTGGCGTCGTTACTCGGGGACGTCCTGAACGTGGGTGGTCGGCAACGTCATTTGTGTTCTGATAACGCCTCACCAATGCCGATATCGTGTTACGATGGCATTGGAAATGTGTTGCCACCTGTTGTTGCCTCATTCCCGCTTGGATCATTCCAATGGCTTCATGACGCTGTGCAGCTGTCAATCTTGGCATGATTTGCTTGTGATATGCTTGTGTCTGCGCCTGAGAAGTTTTGAATTTTTGAATGACCACAGATCATGCTTTCCAAAGTGACAGCGAATTTTGAGTTGCACATGCTGTGTACAGCTGCACAGGATGCACATGCAGTAACACATTGCACGTCCATAGGCCCCCATCAATGACGTCATATCGCATGGCACGTGCATGAGCGTTTGAATGTCTCCAATAATTGCTGTGTTCAAACCTATATTTCATATATGGACGGTGTGCCCTTATATCTATATTTTATCCGTGCACAGTTTCTTTATGTGGCTAGTATAGCTTCTTTCTTAGTGGCTAATGTCGACTTTCTGTTAATGATTTCACTGGTCAGTCAAAGTTCGCAAAAGGTCGCTCTGAAGTGACTTGTAATGGGATGTCAAACAAAAACTTTCTCGCCAATTCTACGCACTCCCGCGAACTGTACCTACGTTTGGGAATCAAATAAAATTCATTGAAGAACTTCAAGAAATGATTGAGATATATCTACAAACATGACAAATTACCTGTTCGGGATATTCGTGATCGTTGTGCAATGGGGGCATAAATAGCACTGATTTAATCGGTTCCCATTCTTAGTGTTGGATAATGCTGATAGATGGATTAATGAGTGTTAGATTAACAAGTGTCAGATTAACGAGACTAGACTGTACTATAAGATTTAGGAAATCTATACACTAAATGTGTTATTGCAATAAAATTCATGTTTACTGTGCATACAAGGTGAGATTAAGTGGTGATTCAATATTGGACTACTCATACAAAAAATAGAGTGTTAAAAAAACAGTAGGCGACAAGGAAACTTGAGTAAATACCACTGAAGGATGTATGATGATAATTAAATGTCTACTACTTCACTTTATGTCCAAAAGGAGACAATCCTTTGAATGAATATTCAATGAACAATTCAATCATTGTAAATAAAGTAAATGAGTACAGTCGACCAAAGTGATTCACACAACTGTTAACATGTATGTGTTTGACCCCCAGCCTTCAACCACCAAGCCATATTACCGTAGATAAACTAGAACTTGCATTTCAAGAAGACTGGGACAGTGTATCCCAAATGACAAATATATTTCAAATAGAAGAAGAACCGCAGGTACAGAAATGTAAACTAGGATGTGCCAAAGCAGTCATTTGGTATAAAAGACATAATTCCTGATAATTAGATACAATGCATCACCACAGAATATACATGGTGAGTCGGCCTACTAAATAATGGATTTTTTTATAAATTGTATTTCTTTTTTCTTCTTGGATAGCATGTGGAAAAATGTTGAACAAAGTTTCCAGCTTCTAAAAAAACAATTCACCTGAACACACCCCAGGATCCCCATGGTTACCGGCCAACAACAGTGTCATGTACATGTTCCTCTGCATGGCCACATGTGCAGATACCCTAGTCTGAAAGACTAGAACCGTGAGACAACACGAGGAAGCTGGTTCAAACAGTGAAACAAATCAAAAGTTACTTAGAACACTGCCTAGTGTCGTAGAAAATGACTAGAACTCTTGAGCGGGAAAACACATCAACAACATTTGAAACGATCTCGATACGCTATTCTTACAAAACAGCATGAGATCGGGTAGTTCATCCCAAACGTGTTTTCATGTATGTCATCATTCAATGAATCCCCGCATAGCTGTAAAGAACTTGGGATACAGCTGAAGACGTCTGGGAAGATAATGGATTCTTCAAGACAGGGCACAACACTATCTCGAACGGACAATAGGGTGCGACTGCTCAGTATCTCATTTAACACATCATTAAACACATTAGAGCCAGGATGAGAAGAGGAATGATGGACAATATCCTTGCCAGATGATGGAGCACCGGACGAAACAGTAGACGCCTTAGCCTACTGAGACTTCTTTACAGAGTCTTTTGACTTCCCCTGACAGTCCATCTCCCTTCGGTGACACAACCAAGAAAGCAGAATCTGGGAGGTGAAGCTACACTGTCCTTGGCAGTCACAACAAAGGGTCTGAAGTGGAGTATGTACGCGCCGGGCGCAACTGGACTTATTGTCCATTACTGTAAGACTTACATCGATGACATGCATCAATCAACTCACGAGGCTGACCACACAATCCTGTTAGTCACCTCTTATGACAAACATAGTTGCCTTTTATGGCTAGGATGGGTTGCTGAAGACCTATTCTACACCGGATCTTCATGGGTCAGATTTATTGGTAGCAGATGAACAGACAATGAATGAAATCTCAAACTATCCTATATTAACATGTAGTTTTGCTAAAACTTACCTTGAATCATGTCTTTCCTGATGATAGCTGCTTTGTCGCTTGTGTTGTTCAAAGGATACTTTTCCATGTTTTTAAAATCTATTACATAATCCATGTTATCAGTTGTTCGTAGCGTGACAGAGGGTTTCTTGCTCTTGTATGCTTCTTCGATTGTTTGGTTGGATATTTTGTCATAATCTCTGTGAACATCACTCCCATTTTGATCTGTTTCCACATGTTTCCACTGAACAAATGAGGATACAATCTCAGGCTTTTCTGTCTCTTGTTTTTGGCATTGTACCCCCAGAGTAAGTTTGTGAAGTGCTCCCACAGCAGACACAATATCACCAGACAAACCCTCGAGCCTCACTTGACCCAACTTCCGGTTGGAGTCCAGATCAATTTGATACTTATTCTTTAAATCGTCCAGTTCCCTCTCCTGAAACAGATTTTTTAACATAAAAACATCTTCTGTCAGAAGTGTGGAAACACGGCGGATTGGGAAAGGTAATGACAGTAACCTCCCTTCCCTCATACAAAAATGAATACAATAGTTCATCATTTGACCGATAGATGTCAGGACATGGAGAGTCTGAGTAATGTTTACATGAGATGGCTGGTTGAAATAATCCTTGCAAACACATACAACTTCTTTATGTTTCTACATGTAAAACAAGTTTGTTTTTAAAACATTGATGCAAAATTATTAATAATAATAGTGGGTCAGAATTGTTTTTAAGTTCAGCAAAATTTAGAGTTGGCAGATCCATAAAGGAAGTGTATCGTTGAAGATGACATGTACCTGATTGCATTGACATACAGTAAATTGTTCTTGAGTCATAATCTTAATGAATTCCTTTCTTTTACACCCTATCATTTATCACAAAAGAATGACTAAGTATTCCTCAAAAACACACACATCTCTATTTAAACGGATAAAAAGGAAAAACAGGTGTGAGTCATGATGAGCTCATTTATCAAAGCTAATATTGACCTTCAGACAATCAAGCAATGCCCATGTCACATTGTAAGACATATAAATGTAGATGCTAAGCAAATACACTATGAATGTCTTGGAGGCCACATTGAAAATTGGATTCAAACCCCTTTAACAAATTCAGGTTCCATTGGTTGGAACAGGATTGTGAAGTAACAGCTTCACTGGTCCTGTGATTTCCAAGGGCAAGATGTTTACATTGGAAGGAAATGCACTTAGAAAGAATTTAGGAGCATGGTCAAAATGCAAAGGTTTACTACACATGTAACCATAAATAGATTTTTCAATATGGAGGCAATATTGGAAATAGGAAGATTGGGTGTCATCATTGGCAGTAATATCCACAAGATGCTTAAGATTTCAGTAAGATCGAAGTGAAAAGGTCAAATCAAGGTTAAAAGTTAAAATATTATAAAGAAACACCGGAACATCTTTGCTGACCCCAACTACTAACAACTTATGTACCAAATTTCATTACATTTGAAACAAATGGCTGAGTAATGTCCATAAATAGGTTTTCCAATTTGCTTGCCTTGGAGGCCACATTGAAAATCTTATTCAAAACTCTTGAACAAACTGTTTTGGACAAAAAATCATTCATTGGAAGTTTGTGAAGTATCAGCTTCACTGGTTCAGTGTTTTTTAGAACAACAATGGACAAACAGCCAATGACATGAGATTACCTGATCTTCAGACGGGTGAGCTATAAACAGGTAAGACATGTTGTCTGCCAAAAACACAAAATGATGACATGTGCCGATCAGTGTGCATTATGATATCCTGAAGGTTTGATTGCCTCAGCCTCATATAGAACTAAATACATTAAAATGATATACTTTTCAATGTAATCCCCTTCCACATTGATACACTTTTGACAACGACGTTGAAGGGATTTTGTCCCAGTTTTGTGGAAGTTCTTCTCTTGGCTATCCAAAACATTCACCACAGCTGATATGACATTATTTGAGTTGAAATGGGTTCCGGCTAGAGCTTTCTGCTTGTTTGGGAACAGGTGGAAGTATGACAGAACCAGATCAAGAGAATAAGGTGGGTACTGAAAGAGTTCAAAGTCACTCTTGTGCATTGTAGCCAGGAAAATGACTAATTTGTGCACTAGCCAATTGTCCTGATGGAAGAGCACTCTTTTTCTGAGCTCCTTTCAACCTGTAGCTGCCTCGAAGTGCAGCATAACATGCTTTGTTTATTGTATTGTCAGACCTTTTGTTTGAAAGACAGCCCACCATGATGACAAACTCAGCATCCCAGAACATGGAAAACATAACCTTTCCAGCTGATGGTACACTCTTTGCCTATTTTGGTTGTGTTGATGTCAAATGTTTCCACGATTTTGGTTGTTGTTTGGAAAAATCCTTCCAAGAACCTTTCTGGATCAACTTCAAACAGAGCTAGATTATCATGATACATTTTGTGCCTTGTGTGTTTTTGATCAGATGTCTGAAACTTTTGAACCACTCTCTTCATTGCCAAAGATTCAGTGCTAATGGAATGTTCTCTCTCCTGAGAAATGCCTACTGAACTATCAATGAGATTCTCCGTCACCTAATATCGTGGAGTCTCTGGATTTTTGATGTTGCTGATGTCACAGGCACAGGATGGGGGTCTTTGGCCCCTGCTTATTTTACTGACTTGTCAGATCGAAATAATTTTTTCAAGTCTTTGTGGATAAATACTTTAATGACATCATGTAACGTCAGCGTCAAAAGATTTCTCTATCACGCAATTCCTTGGACTATCTGTAAGGCTCAGAACTTATAAGTCAACCTTAGTTGGTTGGTTGGTCGGTTGTTTAACACCGCACTCAGCAATATTCCAGCTATATGACAGCGATCTGTAAATAATCGAATCTGGACAAGACAATCCAGTGATTAATATCATGAGCATCGATCCATGCAATTTGGATTGATGACATGCATCAACCAAGTCAGCAAGCCTGACCACCCGATCCTGTTAATCGCCTCCTACGACAAGCATAGTCGCCTTTTACAGCAAGCATGGGTTGCTGAAGACCTATTCTACCCCGGATCTTCACGGGTAAGTCAACCTTAGTATGTCCATGGCTTTGTACAATAGGAAATGAAAGCATAACCATGAATAACCTGAGCCTTCGACAGGTCTTTCAAACCCGTGTCTTGGAATACTTGATCTGCTACTGATTCCCTGTATGTATTTTCCAGCTTCTGAATAGCCCTGTCAAGGTGCATGGCATCATCATAGAAGAAGTGGAGGGTCACGTCAGAAGGTGCGGAATCAACAGTTCCTGGTGTAGATCCCGAAGATCCTGCCTCATGTCTACTTCCACCACTAACACCAGTGTAGAAGTCTGTTGATCAAAATGCACATATATATTCCAACATCTACCAACATATTTTGTACAACATAGTCATATAAGCAGTGCAGGTTGCATAAATGAGTCAGTATTTCACTCTTATGGCATCTGATTTTAATGCAATTAACCAGAAATATATACAAGATGAAAGCTACAGTATTATTTTGTTTTGGGTTGGTCAAACTGCGGAACAGGCTCATAGTTTGGAGATTGGTTGTAACCAGGGGAATCCCTGTGCCACATGTACAGATTCAGGGGAAGGATTTTGTATCACATGAAGTAAACAAGCAGTTTACATCGGTCATCCGTCAACACTTCTCACAATGACTTCTGAAAAGCAAATGGTTCAAAAAGCAAACCAAACTGGTCATCTGACCAGACCTTGCCCCTGACCCAACTTCTTGTTGAGTGGAAATATCTAGAGCAAGTTCTAGTTGGAAGTGCCATCAAGGATGAAGAGTGAGTGAGTGAGTATGGTTTAATGCCCCTTTTAGCAATATTCCAGCGATATCACGGCGGGGAACAGCTTAAATGGGCTTCACACATTGTACCCATGTCGGGAATCGAACCCGGGTCTTCGGCGTGACAAGCGAACGATTTAACCACTAGGCTACCCGACTGCCATCAAGGATGAAGAAGGAAACATGGTGGGAGGTGGCAGCAATGTGTCAAGGCTGTTTTTCCTAATGCTGTACAATCAATGGAGGATTGTGAAACATGCTGGTACAACATGTAGTCAAAGTCAGCGGAGGAGATATCTGCTTTCAAGCAGGGGTCCGGAAAATTTAAAATCCCAATCGGACATTTGCATTTAGGCCACGCCCCCTTCAAATAGCGTATTTTAGTACGACTTTTCACACACATTACAAGTTGTTACGTATTCATAAAATGATGAATTATGAATTGTTTAATTCACCGGGCAATTAATAACAAATAATATCATTTTAGATGTACATGGAAAACATACGTTTGTTTCTGTTATAATAACGATCTGTTAACGTAGTGAACGGTCTAATTAATATTCATGAGTTATATTCATGAGTCTGCTCAAGTGTACGTGTTGTAACATTTGGATCGAGACTATTATCCCATATTTGGTTATCACGTGACCTCACGGGAAAAGGGTTTTTTTAAACTAAAGATTATTTAAAAACAAGACAGATAATATAATCACAAATACTAAAATATCGTTGATAGCAATAGTTATTTGAATACTTTTTTCATCTTTACTTAATTATTGACCATAAAAAAATTTGATATCGATCGTCACAGAAAGCAAAATGGTGATCAATCAAGATTCAATATACGACTAGCTACTGAAAACAATAAAATCTGCAGATCCTCATTGTATGTCAACCAAGTGAAAGTCTTACAAAATGATCGTCCAGACTTTGAGGGTTTGGCAGATCCGCTCGACTGATCTGCATCGGTCGACTGGCTGTCGTCACGCTTTCGCTTCTTGTCTGAGGTTACGTATCGTAGCGTTGTGAGGATAATGAGGTACATCTATGATGCAAGGTATTTATGTACAGTTGTAAACACCTTTCACTCAAATTAACAAGATGTTTCTCAGTAATTAATCCTTGATTAATCTGTGTCAACTCAGTTTATTGCCTATTACAGTGATTGACCTATTGGACTATCATGTAGGTACGATGTATTTACAGCAATAAAAACAAACAAAGCTTGTCAGTGTAGATAATCTTCATTGTGTTACAACTGCAGACAGAAACTGCTCAGTCCTAACTGTTGATCATGTCCGGTCAAAATTAAAGAATGTCCAGACAATACTTTTTAAAATGTCTGGACAGAAAAATTTAAATGTCCGGGAAGCAATATTTTAAACCGGACATTTGAGATTCCCAATCGGACATGTCCAGCGCATATGACGGTTTCCGGACCCCTGCTTTCAAGAGACAGCTTAGTGGCACAGGTGGTAATCACTGTGATCAAATTTTTGCAAAATAGTGCAAGGTAATTGCAATTTTAAGCTCAGGTGCTATTCTGTTAGTTGGTGAGAGCAAATAGTCTCTTACCAGATCAGTCATAAAAATGAATCCTGTTTGATCCAAATGGAATCTTGTGATTAATTTATGGTCACTGTACATTGTGAAAGCATCTATCGATTCTTGAAAATGACCAAGGTGACAGCTGCATTGAGTGGCAGGCATTTCCAATTACCATATTTGCTATTTACAGTTTTATTCATGATGATATAAAGTCATATTGTTGCCAAAACATAATACATATATCATTACCATGATTATATGTAAACAAAATTACCATCTGTTTATTTTAGATATTAGTCAAGTCACTACTATTAGTCAATTGTTCATGGGTTGTTACCAGACAGGAAGAAATGTGTAAGAAAATAGCAAAGAAAAGTAGAAGAAAAATGTTTCTTAAAGTGGTTTTGTATTGGATTGTTGTTTAACACTGCACTCAGCAATATTCCAGCTATATGATGGCGGTCTGTAAATAATCGAGTCTGGACCAGACAACCCAGTGATTAATATCATGAGCATCGATCCACGTAATTGGGATCGATGACATGTGTAGCAGGGCGTGGAGTTATCCCACAGATGACATCCTTACCTTGTCAGCTTGCTGACGGGGTTAACCTCTTTGGTCATGTGGACCTTTGTCAATGAATGCCGTATATCCCTTGCCAAGGCTAAGACTTTATCATTCCTTCACTTTTGACAGGTAATTAATTATTCTCGCCATTGTTTGTGTTTTTTGCTTTTGTTAAATATGTGCATATACGTAACTTTAGCAATGTAACCATTTCCTACCCAGTTGTTAATCATTTACTTGATAAACATACTCATATCTTTTCTGAAATGTTCAAAAATGTTCCACAATTTGAATATTACTGATTCAAATTTGAGAAAAAAGATGAATACTTCACTTTCATTCAGTGCTCAAATCCAACACAGATCATGCTACAGTTCCATATAAAAGTGGCCGTTTCATGATTCATAAGGTCACCGACCCTCACAGAAGTATTATCCAGGACTTAACACAAGACCAACCTGTCTTTGCTTCTGCAGATGATGAACCTTCCTTTGCGAATGTTCTTCTGCTATGACTACTTGATGTTGCTTTGCCATGGGCACCTGAATGGGCACCTGCACCATTAGAACCAATTTGTCTGTGGTACTGAAATGCCTGGAAAAAAGACTTCAATTGCTGAGTAGAAACAAAGATATATACAAAACTGGATATTCTGATCCATTAAGTGATCACATGACAGAAAATACTAAAGACAAAATAGCTACTGTTAAACTCATCATCATGTGTATATCTACTCACTGTTCTGTATATCATGGTGTTGATATCTTGATAACTATACAAAGTCTATCTCCCCCAATTACCAGCAAATTACTGAGTAAGGCTGGGAGTCGAACAGCTTGCAGATAGTTCTTGATGTCTCCATCCAGAAGCTGCACTTTGTCATAATATTGTATATTAAGCTCATATGTTCAAAGCAAATTATGACTATATCTAAGGTTTTGGTTTTGTTTGGTTTGTTGTTTAACACCTCACTCAGTGATATTCCAGCTATATGACGGTGGTCTGTAAATAATCGATTCTGGACCAGACAATCCAGTGATTGACATCATGAGCATTGATCCTGACCACCCAATGCCGTGAGTTGCTTCTTACAGTCACCTTTTTAGCAAGCATGGGTTGCTGAAGACCTATTCTACCCCGGATCTTCACGGGTACTATGTCTGAGGGCATTAATTATTTCTACAATATTTCAGTTCTTTGGCTTTTGTATACTGTATCTGATTAATCATATTATGAAAGATTTCTAGTATGCATAATTGTACCATGACACTGAAGAATTCTTGATTCTGATTTGTCAAATTAAGATCAAAATCAGCCACCTAATATCACCTAAGTATCCCTTTAATACTTCAGAACTAACATGCCCTTTCACACAAAAACCTTGTGTTTGAAAACATTTATCTATAGATAGCCTACAAAACAATGAATATAACAATAGCTGCCCAAAAAACATTATAATTGTATACATTTGATATGAAACATGATGAAATCTATAACACACATTTAGGACTGTGCTGTGTCAGGGCCACAAAATGAGCAGTCTTTCATACCACAGCTAGACAGTTAACAACATTGGCTTTCATTTCCACCAGTAAATCATCGCATTAATGTGAACAAAGTTACAGATCGGGGTTGACCTCTGGGTTCACTGAATTTGTAAATATTGAAATTTTACAATGAATTGTATATTCATAAACTTATCCCATCTTAAACTATGCATTTATCCAACTGTACGATTGTGGGCGCAGATACCCAAGCCGGCAATAGGACCTCAACCGGGAGACATACATGAGGGAGCTGGATAGTGTCTGAAACTCAGCAGAGTAAAGCAGATCCATAAGGGCCAGCACATTTAAAAGAACTGTAGGCCCTGTGGAAAAACTGCAGGCCCAAACATTTTAGCTGAAGCAGGGAGACAACCTCTTGCAATATAAATTACAGAACCAGTCAGCCAGAAGCTTTTACTGCTATCACACTGAGGTCCCAGAGACTCTGAAGTGATGTCTCGAAAGTGGGATGCCAACACTGTGTCCAATCTTCAGAACCAACCCTCCAGTAAAGTACAGTCGCTGTGTGATGCCATGGTAGATGCAACTGCTCTTGTCTCATGTGGGTTAGAAGCTACTGGAGGTGGTAATCCCATGAAGTTTTAGGCTCTTAAGATGACAGAACACAGCCAAAAGGAGATCACGGTCCAAGATACTAGTTTGCAGGCGTTGATAATGGGATAAAAACATGCTTGAGTGAGCATTGCAAGGCCTCAGATGCCTTCAAGTAGACTCTCATGTCTCTGACTGGACACAGGGAGAGATCTTCAATATCATCCGGCCCCAATATCGTGGAGAGCAGCGGGATAGTAAACAATCGGTCATGTTGTCCTGGGAGATGATTTTTAGCAATAAAATCCTAACGTAATCCCAAAAAGACTTTGCCATGGTGTTGTCTTTCAAACCCAGACTCAATTTATGTCTTAGGCGGTGATTTCACTGATGCGAGGTGCTGTAGCCAGTGCAAGGAGGAAGATCATTTTGAACTTCAAGTGTTTGAAGTCCTTTTCCTCCAAAGCTTAATAATCCACAGAAGATAGATGATGGAGGATGTTGAGATCAAATGCAGGTGGTCTAAACCGAGATGACTGATCCGTAAGCCAGTATGACGAATCAAAACTGTAGCTCAGCAACAATGGAGACCTTGGAGCCTGTAATTAACTGTGGCAATGACGGAATTAATAGCAGCCATACTGGTAGCTAAAGTGGAACCCGTCAACTTCCTGGTTGTGCGCAGATGTGGAAGGTACTCAGCTATTTGTTGAGGTGAAGTGGTGGGAGAAGGGGTGGGAGAAGTGGTCAGGGAAAAGTTATCTCAAGCAGCGCAACAGCCTTCAGAAGCCTTCCATTTATGATCATACTGAGCTTTGGTAGACGTTCGATGTGTATCAGTGAGAGTACACACCACCTACGAGAATAACCTATTGAAGATCTTTCCCTATGTCCAGTCTGAGACATGAGTGTCTATCAGAGATTCCTGGAAATGTGCCAAATGTCATGCTGACCAACGCCCTGCTCTATGCTTGTCCTGAATCCACAATGTCGTAACTTCCGGGAGATGACAACAGCATCTGTTGATCACCATGATTTGCTAGCCATGTCATCCGGAATGGAATGAGCTCTGGCGGTAGAGTCGCTATGCGAAGCCGAAGACTTGTCCCCAGGAAACTGTGCTGATTGAACAAGTATCTGGAAGTTTGAGTCAGGTACTGAAGCAGCGTCTGTAGGAAGATAAAAAAATGAAGGGAATGTAGAAAGATTCTGGCAATCAGTTTGATCATGTGATTTTTTATTTTATTTTTCTTTGTAATTGATATATTAACTGTTATTTTTGTACTTATTATTCTAAATAATGTCATTATCACACCAAGCCCTATACCTCTCACCGTGTGAGTTTGTAAGGGTTTTTGTAAAACCGTGGCAACTATCTTGAGAATGAAAAAAAGAAGAAGAAAAAAAGTACACCAGAAAAAAAATCATGGGAACCAAAGTTTAGGAGCCTTGAGGTGGTCTAGGGGTAGGTACAGGAGAACAACCATCCCTGAATCATGTTGATCTAGCAATCCATAACAGCATATTTCTGTCAAGGTCTGTCGGTCTCTTGAAGAATGTCGTTCTGTTGGGGACAGTCGATTCTCCGAGTGATGTCGACCTTTTGATGTATGTCGATCTATCAGTTTGTCGTTATGTAGATTCATACGTAGAACATTCATCGTAGAGATAAGAAGGGACTCGTCAGTTGATAGTACAGTACAGCGGTCGGGTGAATGCGGGCCAACTGTAGGAGAAGATGGGATATCCTCACGCACACAGGGCGTGGTCGTCTTAGCAGCGGGAAGTTCAGCTGTGAGGAATGAGTCGGAAAGTGCGTCCTCCTCTATCGATAGCGCAGTGATTGTTGATGAATTGGTCTCACAAGAAGACAAGGGAGGTACAGCAACATTAGAAAGCACTGTTCGCTTGGATTTCTTGGCTGGCGATGGCCTGTGCTCAGAATCCTTCAACGACGCCTTGGAATGCCAATCCTCTGAACACTGCTGACATTTGCTGATCTGTTTTGGAAAGTTGGGGACATTGCTGACATCGACTATTGATAGTAGCTGTGCCCCGACATTCACAATACACTGAGCGTGGGTCATGTGGAGAAAACAGGTGTTTGCAGTCTTTGCAAAGAGGACATAATGGTTCAATGACATTGTTTTAGTTTCAGTGGTTGGTAATGAGATAGACAGACAATCCTGAGCCTCCAAGAAAAGAAGAAAATGTATTCTCTGTTCAAGTACATCTTAATCTTAGAGATTTAGAAAGAGCATGAGGGTGCAGAAAATGTCAGGTGATTAGGTCACATGGAGTAGCATCACACAGGATTGCAGTTGTGCTTGACCCATGGTTAAAAGTGTGATATATGGGATGTGTTGGGGCGAGTTGTTTTTTTAAAGATGGAAACTTTGTTCTAGAACTGAAGATGGAAAACATGCATAGTGTGAGAGAGGATAAGTTTAAACATTTACAGTTATCGTGAACAACTATTGTGGCAGCTATGGACAGTGAAGAGTAACTGATGTATGTAGGTCACGTTCAGCCACGTCAAAGTTCGGAGTTCATTCTGGATATGTATTACTGTTACTGAGGGGATATTTCAAACCAACTGGTTCATAAGCATAACTTAAAAAGCCCAAAATACTGTGATTTGAGTTATTTGAGAAATAACTTACTTCAGCATTTTTTGCTACGATTTCTGTAACCTGTCACCTTAACAATTGAAGATGTCATGTTGAACTTTTAGAAATGACTTGGTTGAGTCCAAGCAGTGCAAATACGCAAAAAGGTTGCAATGAAAACAAAATATATATCTATGGAAGCTGTTTCCATTAATTTCTTCAAAGAACTATGTTTTTTGTAACCATTATTTTCAACTAATTTACACATTTGAAACCTCAAGCTAAAGAACCCGGTTTCGAATTGATATAAAAGGTATCTGAATTACATATAGACTACCTCAAATCTCAAAACGTAGTAGGTTTATATCCTGAATATTTACCTCTGGTAATTTTTCAAAGAATTCACCACATTGTAGACTAAAGATGTCAACTTCTTACTTAAGTTCATGGAGATTATTCAATATTTCCTGAAATGCTGCATTAAGAATCCATCATCTGTATGAAGATAATGTTCAAGCATTTACCACAATTTGAACATTTTTTACGTAATTTTGAAAAAAACACCAACAAAACTAAATATTTCACTTTCAGTCATGTTATCATGGTTACTAATTTTTTAAATATTTTATATTTATAGATATATGTACCTTAGTAGCCGCAGTATCCTTGTGGTACACAACTATCTTCACCTCCTGGAGTGATGATCCGGGGTTGTCCTGTCCGAACTGTTCCACCGTCTCCATCATGGTTTTGGCCACCACATCTCGTGGGTATCCCAGGTTACCAGTACCCAGTGCAGGGAAAGCAATGGACTGGTACCTTTTGCTGTGAGCTTCCTGAAGACAATCTCTAATCAATTCTTGCAGAACCTTCAAGCAAAAAAAGATAGGAAAGAATTAGTTATGAGGCTCATGGTGTTTTCAGAAAGTGCAAAAATACCAGGTTAACATTTGCAATAGTAGTTGAAATGTTTGTTTGTTTAACGCATCCAGCTATATGACAATGGCCTGTATATAATCGAGTCTGGACCTGACAGTCCAGTAATAAATATTGTGAGCAATGATCCATGATATCAGGGTACAAGGACACCTTTCAACCAAATCACCGAGCCCCACCAGCCATTCGGTCACCTTTTATGACCAGCATAGGTTGCTGGACACTGAACCTGGAACCCCTAAAAGGCAAGTGGTGTGTCACTATATCGTAAATCGTGAAAGCCCTTTGATTTGTAACAGAATCTATCAGAATCAGAGTATAGCAAGCTCAAAGTGTATTGCACTCTGTCTATCATCTTTGCAGGGTGTTCACTGTGGCACCTTATTGATAACATCATATAGATGTCCCACACAAGAGACGTCTCAACACTGAGGATTCTTCAAATGTATGTTCAGTTTAATTACACAAAATAATGCAAGTAATGGTTGTTTACGTACTGTACCTAGACATATGTTAAGTAAAGTATTTTATTTGCTTGTGGACTTTGGTTTCTCCCAGAGCAATACTAAAGGCTGCGGTCCAATTGGTGTTTGTCATGTGGAGTATGGTTAGTTATATCCTGATAATGAACAACATACAATATGCAACAGAATAACCAGGCTTGATTACCTGATGAAAAACAAAAGATTCCACTGGGCATGAAAGAGAAAATAGCAGAGAAAATCTATGAATGGATCAGTGAATGAGTGAGTGTGTTGGGTTTTATGCCGCTTTTGACAGTATTCCAGACATATCGCAGCTGAAACCTTAATGTAGTAGGAAAGCCGGAAGTGATGCATGTCTCAGACGTTTACCACTTCTGTGAAATCCACGAGCATGGGTATATTGCTGACAAACCTAGAAACATCATCGGGGCGAACCTGGATTCAAACCCGCAATCATAGGTTTCTGGTGTACCCAAGGGACGCAACTCTGCACAGCGAATCACGGCAACTTAGACGACTGGGCCACCGTGCCCCCGAATGGATCAGTGAAAATCAGTGATGTTCGCAAAAGGGTAAGCATGTCCTGCCATACTTGTAGCACCCGCCATTACACTGGTACCAGGCCAACTCCTTTACTGGTCAAGTAAACTAATTATTTAACATATTCTGATCATCGTCACTGATTTCTTGCTTGTTATCAAAACCTCTCCCCATTCACATGTGTTTCATAAGTGTCTCTCCATTCACTAAATTTGGTCGAACCATCCTGAAGCCACAACCTAACGGCAGCAGAAAGGACAATGTGCTGTGTGCTCTTCTGGTTTACATTCAGAGGCTATTTGACCTTTCTGTCAAATCATAGAAAAACTCATGTTGCAGTGTCACCTTTTGTATTTGCATCTTATGCACTCTGTATATCCCATACTCTTAGGCCCAGAAGCGGTCATATGTCATTCAACAAATGCATATTGACTCCAAGTCAGGTCCGTATTTACAACTTGAGTTACTAAAACCAGATTGGGTGTAAGAAGTAATAATCCCCAAACCTAAGCCAATCAGATGTCTCAATTTGTTGGAACCTCATAACATTATTGTAGCGGACATAGTTGTCTATGTTGAATCTGCTTTTCTCATTATTATAAAATAAGACAATACTAGACATTAAGTAAAGACACCCCATGGAACCCCACAATAAACACATCCTCAGTCCATACGTTAAAATTTTTAACTTAAAAATCAATGCGGACCAAGGACGAAGTCTGAGGTCAATATTGCTTTTCACTGGTCCATTAAAGAAGTATTGATGAAGTCTATAATTATATCTAATCTTTTTTATATAAATGCCCACATTGACATCAGTGAACTACCTGTTGCCCATTGGTGCCTTGAGTCCAGCTTGGAAGACAGGTGTGGTAAATCTGGCGACAGTTAAGCATTCCTCCACTGGAAATGGCAAAACATCCTGGACGAATACCGCTTGGGTACTTCTGAGAACACTCATTTTGTATAACCATTCCAGCTCTTTGCAGGATGGATTTGGACACCACTCCATAGTTCAGATCTAAGACATGTGAGGTCGAGTTGACAATAACATCCACCTGATGGAAGAAAACAGACCTTACAAATGAATACGGACTGGTAATTTAAGCAATGAACAATGCACAGTTGTGCAGTATGGATCAATTCGCTTTAAGTATCTGTCTCAAACATTGAGTCAGTTGCTAGACTTTAAAAATAATTGAATTTTTTTTACCACCATTCTAAGTTAAAGCGGTGAAAGAGATTGTATTTCACTGTTAAATGACAATTCTGATCAGCATTCGGGGCATAAGAATAATAGTAATAGTAATCATAAGAATAATAGTAACTTAGCATCCCCATGTTTTGGAATCTTGTCAGGCAACTAAATAACTGTGTGAAAATCATAATCATGTTATAAATAATTGAGCTGGAGCTGTATCGGCTACTGAGCCAAAGTGTCGTGTTCCAACCATGTGGAGAAGGTGTGTGCAACATTTCAATCAGAGGGAATGCACATTAGAAGAGCCAAGAAAACATAAAAACTGTTTTTTAATTTTGTTTGCGTACCTATCGCTTCACATACGATTTCACCGAAATTAATTAAAACATTATTAAAAGGAATTTTTAATAAAATTTATGAAATAAGTTACAAACGTAAGTCAAGATATACAAAGAACACTTTTTATAGCCAGACAATGTAATTACATGATTAATTTGCGTACTTCAATATGGATTTATTGACATGGTATATCTGGTGTTTCATGCTCACGGTAAAGTCTTTCTGTTGGGGAAAAAAACATCAAAACTCATTATTGCGTGTATAATGTGCACCCCCTTCTACACAGCTGTGTTTTGTTTTTAAAAAGTGCACACTATACACAAGAAAATATGTTAACAAGACTCTCAACCACCTACCCATTCTTCTAAAGTAATTACATCTGGCAGATGACTGTGAACCTTTATGATGATCCCTGATATAAATAGCTCTGCATCTGTAACTACTTTGGGCTTATTACACTGGAAATCTTTGATCAGAATAAATCATTTACCTGTTCTGTAGCTATTTCTCCAGAAACAATGTTTATCTGAATACTTGAAGAACTGAATACATCTTCCCTCTGTCGACTGAATGCGTCGTCACTCTCTGGAGAAGCATACTGTTGTTTAGAATGCCCTTACAAAAAAGTGCCTCATGTTAATAAAGATTACATATCACCAAATGAGTTATATTTCTTCAATAAACAGCTCAAAGATCTGATAATAGTGATGTCACTTATGCAAAAGAGACCCTCCGAAACACAATTAAGAAGGTACAAAGGCATTATATTGATAAGACAATGTCATTGCCAATAAAAATATATATTCTTTGACATCCTACTCAGTTGTTGATTATTTGCTTGATAAAGGTACTGGCATTTTGTACCAAAATGTTGCATTGAAAGAAAAGAATTTAAAAAAACAAACGTTTACTCTGTCTTCAACATTGAGCTCACAGTCATATTTTTTTATTAACACACAATGTATGCTTAAATGCTGGACAAAGGTGCTCTTTTGATGGCAACTTTCATTTTCTTTGACTTCTGACTAGAATATATCCTAAAGAAAACTGTAAGTTAAGTTAGAAAACAGTCTAATAAGGTTCAAAGGTAAGATTCCATGTCCATTTCATATAAATCGCACCAAGGCACTGTTCACATTGATTGCCCTGTAAGTGAGCAGAGTGTTATATATACTACCAACAATAAATAAGGGAACTAGTGATCTGAATGTAGCTATTGTTGAGGTGTACATTTACAATACCATCATGTCACATCTCAACGCAACATCTAAATCACAATGAAATTTCAAATCATGCATGAACAGAACGTGCACACACAAGCCAAAATGTGTGCTCCCATCGGGGAACTCACAATCACTAAAACAATTGTGTTGAGCACATGCTCAAAAATGCCTCAGAGACTGTATCTCAATGAACAGACAAAATGCCAAATTGCGGTTTCGATAGAGGGGCGAATGTTGCCTGAATGCTTGGCAAATCAAGATGTGTAATTTCCCGACTGGGGAACAAGAACCATCATTCAGGGCGGGAATGCAATGAGACCAGAATTACTGTTTTGTTTGTTTGTTGCTCAGCACTAGACTCAGCAAAACGTTCCAGCCATCGTTGGATCGAGAAAGGTCTACTGATTGATCATTGATTATTATTGATCAATGGATCATCAATAGGTCATTAAACACAATGAAGATATATTTTACTCACTTGGTCTCCTTGATCTTCCTTGGGATCTGTGTTGTCCATCGTCTTCATCTGCAGCTACCACACCTTGGTTCACAGAAACCACTTTAGCGGCACCACAAACTTTCTTCACAGCCTGGATAAAAGCTTGAACATTGTTGTCACACACGTAGACATCCATCACCTTGCTACCTGGATTGTCTGTGAAAAATATCTGTACTGCATCAATGATAGACTCAGTTGCTTCTGTCACTGGGTATCCATAGATACCAGTGCTTAGAGCTGGGATGGCAATAGAAGGAAGTTTCCAGCTATCAGCCATCTCAAGACTATTAAATATAGCTTCTTGAAGGAGTCCTTCCTCGTCATTCTTCCCACCTGACCATATAGGTCCTACAGCATGGATGACCTTCTGGCAGGGAAGATTTCCAGAACTGGTCACAGCTACTTTTCCGACATTCACATCACCATTTTTCCGTCTGATAGCATCACTTTCATCTTGAATAATTCTGCCACCTTCAAGAAGATCAACAACACACTTTTTAACATACCTATTCATATGCCCCCAAAAGGAGTTCTTGAAAACAGAATGAATGTTAAAGTAATATTTTAGAACAACTCATATTTAGGCAAATATCCTCAAAATTCTTTGATAACTGAACTGCTGTTATAATTGTTATCATAAAAATGAATTTGTCAATGATTAATTTATAAATGCTTGGTTCACAGTTAGGAAAGACTGAATTTTCAAAGACTTCCTCACTCAGTCATATTTTGTCTCTTGTCATGGATTAAACACTGACTGTAATCAGATAATATCTGGATGTTTCGGTTAACCAAACTATACAAACCTTTATCAACAATGGCTCTGGCCAATCCACCGCCATGAGAAAGCTGTTGATTTGCTGCATTAACGATAGCCCCCACCTTCATCTGTGTGATGTCACCTTGGCACATGTACAGAGTACGTCCGGCCCCAAGGTCACATGTGGCTTGGGTCTGAGGCCCTCCTGTAACTGTTCTTAGACCCCTTTGCTTCCGTGTATTACCATAAACCGTCCGCTCATTCGGATCATAAGTTCGCTCTATCACACAACATTCTGTTTGCTCAATCCTTTTGATATCAGCCTCTCCTTTGTCAGATAGGATCAGTTTAGCAATCCCTGGTTTGTTGAAAAGGTGGCTACCATATATCACATTCTGGGAAAGTCTTTCCAATTCCCCCATTACAATTCTTAATCCATCTTTGGTTCCTTTCACTGTAAAATCACCAGATGTCCTCTGGTAGATAATCTTAACAGAATATATTTTGAATTTTTCAGAAAGCTCTCTGATTTCAGTATCTTTATGCATAGTCATGAACCGCTGGATTCCCCTTGGGAACTGGACAGTGTCGCTATATACTGTGTATTCTGTGATGAAGTTGTTCACCTCTTCTGCCACCCCAGCTACCAGTTCATCTATAGCAGCTATGACAATATGAGACTGATCCACTGCTGTGATGATCTTCACAGTGTCCCCTCTGCCCTGTGTCTGATCATCACAGATCCTCTTCCAGTCTGGAGAGGCCAAGAGTGGAACAGATTCCGGGTCCAGGTTGATGACTTGCTGGACCACACATTGTTTCAGAACTCTTACAACATCTGCAGCTTCAGTGTCTGTCCTCCCATACACATACAGTTTACCTTTGTCTGCCTCCCAGACACCAACCAGATGTCTCAGCTTCAGCTTCTTCACAATGTAACTCCTGACATCAGGCTTCTGAAGAAGCATCATCTGAGCATCAAGCACATTGGGCAAAGATGTCTGCTTGAAGTCAGTCATTGTTTCATACATGTCAACCTTTGCAGATTTCACAAAAGAAACTAATCCTATGAAAAAAATCTCTTTCTTGGTCACATTAATTTCAACCTTTAGATGTTCATATTTCTTCATCATATCACCTGGGAACCCAAGAGCAAGCAGTAGCTGTAACTGCCATGACTTCAGACCTGACACTGTTTCATTGATTTCCTTCTTCCTCCGCTCATGATCTCCCTCCACCGATGCTACTACGTCCTTCACCTGTTTAGACAGTCCTTCTGCAACCATCTTGTGACCGACAACAACTATAAGTTGAGACTGATCAAAAACATAAAGTCTTGCTGCATCTGGCTTGGAATTTTTCATCTTCTCAACCTCTTTCATCACATGATCCCAAACCTCCTGAAGGACATTTACCTTCTCAGTGATCAGCAGAGAAAGAAAATGTTCCAAATCCTCAGTTGCATTTTTCTTCCAAGACTTAGCCTTGTTTCTTGCATCAAGCATATCTTTGGTAAGACAGCATTCAAGGATCACAGAACCATCTGACTCAAGCTTCAGATCAGTGTGGCCATCTTGCAACTGCTGTTGTAGATTTTTCATATTTAGACGAGAATCTCTGATGAATTGCAGTTTGTAATAGTCAACATTCTGTAAAGTAATTGGTGGTGGCAATGTGAACCATGTGGGATTGATGTGTCCACCTCCAGATCCCAGACATTCAGTGTACAAGGATACTGTAAGGGCCATGTCATCTAACTTGTGGGTTGTGTACAAAATCTCAGGTATCACTGAAACACAAACGATTGCACTTAATCAAGAGTTCATCTATTCTGAAAAAACAGTGAAAAACCATACCTTTTTGCCAAAAACGGAAAATACTGTCATCAGTGACGGAAACAAATATTGATTCTATCTCTTTCAGATGACAAGGTAATCATAGTATTGGCTAAATATTTTCTCTTTTCTTAATGTGGTACAGAATAAATATAATAATTCACAGTATAATTTTACTAACTTGTTCTTATCAAATCAGAGAACAAATATTCAACTTTTCACTTTCAGTAAAAAAACATTGACATGTATATTCTTAATATGATCTATTTCATCAACATTTAATTGAGTTCTATTCTAATTTATCACACTCAAGAATGTACTGTCTTTTATTACTTTGAGTTCACTGGAGAATCAACCTTCAAAGGGTGAGGGCCAAACTGTAGAACATTAAAGCTTTAATCTTTTTGTTTCACTAGAAATCTTGTCCTGTCTACACAATTTCGTTCTGAACCATGTGACCTGATAATACTTTAATAATGACATGCATACTAGTTCTTGTCAGTTATATGAGGAAACAATAATGTCCAGAAATTGTCTTTGTTTGATTTCATTGACTCCATTATGGATTACAGTCTACTGGAGCTCACTTCATAGACTTTTCTGATATTAAGCTTGACCCTGAGGAACGCCCAGAAGATTTATATCAGCGCCTCATGGCCTTTATTGAGGACAATCTCATGCATCGGGAGGGTGCTATTACGCACCATGGAGTGATAATCGACGAGGACGAGGAACTTTCTCCAACTTTAGAGAACTTTGTTATCCTCACATGGCTACGATTGATTCACCCTGAATTGCCAAGACTGGTCAAGCAAAGATGTGGTACTGAACTACGCTCACGGACTTTAGCTTCCATTAAACCGGAAGTTTCGCAGGCTCTATCATCTCTCCTAGATGAGATACGTAAAGGGGATGACGTGAAGATTATGAGGGCTGCAGCGTCCTCAGATGGCAACCGAAGATCTCCATTCACCAACAGACCTCCAAAAACCTCCCCTCAACGCCCAAACAAGATGTGCCCTCTGTGCAGTCAAGCTGGACGTTCAGAAATACGTCACTTTCTCAGTGTGTGCCCACACCTACCAGAACATGACATGAAAGACATGACAAAGGCTCGACAGATATCCCACATTTTGGACATAAACGACAATGACAATGAGGAGACAGAGGATGCTTTCACCATTAACCCCTCCACATTATCTAAGTCTAACAAACCTCTCAGCACTAAGGATTCAGGTCCGTCAATCACCGTATCTAGATGCTTTCCACCATCATCATGGTGTTCGCCTCACCCTCGACTCTGGAGCTACCGGCAATATGATTCGTCTGTCAGCCACAATACATCTAGAGGCTAAGATTAGCAAGTCATCACAGTCAGCACATCAAGCCAATGGATCCTCACCCCTAGAAGTCGTTGGAGAGACCTGCATGACATTTGCACACGATGACAAAGTTTTTGTTCGAAGGCTTGGTGGTTAAGGACCTCGATGTTGATGTCATTGCAGGAACCCCCTTCCTTGAGTGCAATGATGTGTACACTCGACCAGCTAAACGACAAGTGCACGTCGGTGACAATGCTACATATACTTATGGCTGTACCGACGAACCAACCACTCGTCACACAGTGCGGCGCGCAAGCCTTATACGAGCTCCCCATGTTGCTACAGTATGGCCTGGCGAATATCTGGAAGTAAGTCTTCCCGACGACATGTACTCTCAAGATGGAACCATTGCAGTTGAGCCACGTATCGACACTAGACAAGTGACTACAAAAGACAACTACATGTGGCCTCCACCTAGCCTCTTAGCAAGTGTCTCAGGCAGGATCCGCATCCCAAACTTGACAGATAGTCCACAGACCGTGAGACGACATGACCACTTTTGTCAAGTCAGACCAGTTGCTATCCTACCGGACAACAATGCGACAGCCCATGACCCTACAACTTCATATCTTAAAACCTCAACCGTTCATCATCAGGGTGCAAACTACTCTAGCGATGTCAAGTTGGACCCTGATTCTACTATTCCCCCATTGGTAGCTGCCAGTTTCAAGTCGCTTCTTGAAGAGTATGACACTGTTCTGGACCCGCGATTCCAGGGTTATAACAGGAAGTCGGGTCCATTCCAAGCAGTTGTGAACATGGGACCTGTACTACTGCCGCAGCGCAAAGGACATGTTCCCCAATATTCCAGGGACAGACTTTTAGACCTACAGACAAAGTTCAACAAACTCGAAGACTTGGGTGTCTTCGTCAGACCTGAGGATGCCAATATCTGCATAGAGTACCTGAACCCATCCTTCCTAGTCCATCAAGCGGAGGTTTCCGGTTGGTCACTGCCTTTGCAGACGTCGGGCGTTACAGTAAGCCACAACCATCCCTGATGCCTGATGTTGACTCAACTTTACGTCAAATAGCCCAATGGAGACACATTATAAGCACAGACCTCACAAATGCCTTTTACCAGATTCCACGATCACGTGAGTCTATGAAATACTGCGGTGTAGCGACCCCCTTCAGAGGAGTGAGAGTCTATGCCAGGTCAGCCATGGGCATGCCGGGGTCAGAAACTGCTCTTGAAGAGCTCATGTGCCGAGTGCTAGGAGACTTACTTGAAGAGGGAGTAATTGAAAACTTGCTGATGACTTGTACTGTGGTGGGAATACCCATGAAGAGCTCTTGCATACACGCAAGCGCGTCTTACAGGCCCTACACCGGAATGGTCTCCGTCTGTCAGCCGCTAAGACTGTTATCTGTCCGTCTCCGGTCACAATTCTGGGTTGGATATGAAACGAGGCACCATTCACGCTAGTCCCCACCGAATAGCGACGCTCTCAACATGCGCTCCTCCAGAGACAACACGGGGACTTCGTTCGTTCATTGGAGCTTATAAAGTACTAGCCCGTGTCATCCATGGATGTGCCAGCCTCCTTTCACCATTGGATGAAGCCTTAGCAGGTTCTCAAAGCAAACACAAAATCATATGGTCAGACGACTTGTCAACAGCCATTGCTAAGGCCCAGGCTGATTGAGTTCCAACCGTACTATTGTGCTTCCACACCCTGAGAATCAGTTATGGATCGTGACTGATGGTGCTGTCAAGTCTTATGGTGTCGGAGCAACTCTTTACGTCACACGCGACAGTAGACAACTACTTGCAGGTTTCTTTTGTGCCAAAATTTGTGGACGCCAGGTTTCATGGCTTCCCTGTGAAATCGAAGCGCTTTCTGTTGCTGCGGCCACGAAACACTTCAGCCCCTTCATCATCCAATCTCACCACAACACATGCATTCTTACTGACAGCAAGCCTTGTGTTCAGGCATTTCAGAAATTGTGCAGGGGTGAATTCTCAACTTTCCTTTCCACAGTCAGTCGATATCAGGCTACTATTCGTCACCTGGCTGGATCAGCAAATGTACCCTCAGACTTCTCAAGTCGGAACGCCCCTGATTGTACTGAGCCAACTTGTCAAATTTGCTCCTTTGTCCGGAAAACTGACAGCTCGGTTGTCCGTACAATGTCAGTTCAAGAAATCATCGCCGGAGATGCTAAGTTACCCTTCACCAGCAGAGCTGCGTGGCACAACATACAATCTGACTGTCAAGATGTGAGAAGGACCCATGCTCACCTGCTTCAGGGTACCCGGCCATCTAAGAAGCTCACCAACATCAAGGATTTCAAGAGGTATCTCCATTCAGTCACCATAGCTAAGGATGGATTGTTGGTTGTACCAAGAATGAACCAACACGTGAACTCCTAGATGGTTTACTCACATCTATACATATGCAGTTAGACCATCCCTCCTCCCACCAACTTAAACAGGTAGTGCATCGTTTCTTCTACGCTCTCGACATGGATAGAGCTAAAGATCAAACAACAAAGTGTTGCCATCAATGCTCATCATTAAAGAAGATGACCCATACCATCATAGAACAGTCGACCTCTGACCCCCAGAATTAATAGGTACGTCGTTTGCTGCAGATGTCTTGAAGCGGTCACGACAACTCATTCTTGTCTTGCAAGAAACAGTAACCTCATACACCAACGATTGTCTCATTGAAAATGAGAGGGGAGATACACTACGCGATGGTCTCATCCGTCTTTGCGTGGAACTCCGTCCAGTAGCTGTGATCCGAACAGACCCTGCCACCAGATTTGCCTCCATCATCAATGATAAGCTCCTTCACAAGCACAGAATTTAATCTTGAGATAGGGAGAGTGAAGAATGTCAATAAAAACACTGTTGCTGAAAGAGCCGTCCAAGAGCTAGAAGAAGAACTTCTACGCCAAGATCCCTTGGGTGGCTCTGTCACCGTTCTGAGGCTTTGTGTGACCCTAGCCCGGTTGAACGCTCGTATACGGGGAAGGGGCCTATCAGCCAGAGAAATGTGGACACAACGGGATCAATTCACAAACAGCCAGTTACCTATCAGCGACAGGCACTTCATAACTGACCAGCATTCCCAGCGTTCCAGTAATCACCGCCACAGCCAGAAGTCAAAAGCCCCAAAGGGAGTTCTACCATCTAGTGCCCAGGTACGGGTTGGTGACCTGGTTTATCTTCACACAGACCGTAACAAGACTCGAGCTAGAGACTGCTACCTTGTGGTCCACTCAGATGGTTCTTGGTGCAACATTCAAAAGTTTGCTGTGAAGCAGTTGAGGAGTGCTTCATACAGAGTGAAACAGTCTGAGTGCTTCAAAGTTCCTAATTTCATGCTGCTGACGTCAGTACGCACTCATGCAGGGGCCAATGAGGATGACGACACTGAAGGAGACAAGTCCATGGCAAGCTACCATCAACCACCAGACCCCCCTCATATTCCTCTAATCCTTTCTAGTCCTCCAGAGAATGACCCTCTTCCTGAGTATCAGACTCATGAGATGCCTGCACCAGCCTGCAGTTCCCCTACTACCCAAAAAGAACAAGAAGATACGGTCAGCGGTATTCCCGGCCACGTCTACACCTCTGAACCCGTGACTAGTCAGTTACAGACACAGAGGTACCCTACACGCTCACGTCATCTACCCAGCCGTTTACGTGACTACGTCCTTGACTGATATAGATAATCTGTGAGTTTATTCTCATGTGAGTCATCGTGTACTCACATATTGTGTCGGGCAGAATAATCCCATAGACTTGAGGGCAGTCTACCCTATGCTTCATACATTTTGTTTGTCACTATTCCCATAATGTTACCACGTTTTCATGTACATTATAGGCAATTTTTGTGTTAGTTTTCACACAGCGGTTAGTGTATGGTACCACCATTATGTCCATCTTAATCCCCAGGCATAAAGCCCACTTCTTTACTCAGTTTCTGCCACTGGCCTTCTGGAGAAGGAAAGAAGAAATTACGCCAATAGTGTTGGCTGGTTATTAGCGGTATGGAAGACTCCCCGAGTTAGCTCCCTTGTCTTCGCTCTCCGGTTCCGCCGTTTGTACTCGCCTTGTGGTTTTCGAAAATAAAACCTCTCGCAACCGAAAAGCCTCTCCATCTTGTGTCCCAGTCATCAGTGGTCTAAGAGTGTCCGTCAAACCTTACTGGCGCATAGATTGACAGCAAAACAAATTTTCAATGAATGTTCATCTAATGTTTGGCTGTCTCTCTCTGATTGATGCTATTAAAGTGCCATACAGAACCCAAATGGCCAAAATAATCAAACACAAACACAGAGTTATCATATTTTGAATAACATACACTACTCAATACAAGTAAATTGTCAAACATATAATCCTGCACAATCGTGAATTTGACATAGAAAACATGGGAATTAGATATTTCTAATCACAAATTGGGTTGAAATAGGTTTAATGTGTCCTAAAGCTTAGCATTGAGTGCAAATCATACGCACTATACAACCACAATGACTGATAATCTTTTGACAAATCACCAATTCAAGCTGAAAAACAAGGGTCAATGAAATTGTGTGCATTGCCCGAACACAGTGTTGCCCGGTCATCATGCTTTTGTTTGTCAATGCACCCGCAAACTGTGTTATCTGTGAACTTTTGGGGCATACAAATCGCTACCATGATCGTGTTGTTCTCACTTGAAATTTCATCATGGTCAGACGTCAACTAAGCAATGCTGATAGAGGAAGAGCCATTATGTAGCTGCAGGATGGTTTTTCACAGAGGAATATGGCCCAAAGAATTAGTTGGAGCCAAAAGGTTTGGTATACTATGACAGCAATTCTAAGCCACCAATTTCATTCAGAGAATCGTCCTCACTCTGGTAGGCCAAGATCAACATCACAGTGCGATGACCAGTATATCCTGCACATGGCATTACCCCAATGCACCGTCACAGCTAGACACCTGAGAGATCAACTGCGACATGCAACTTGTATTCAGGTATTGGACCAGACCATACGGAAACGTTTGCGAGCCAACAATATTCGATCTCGGCAGCAAGCAGTTGGACAACCCCTTCTCCAACACCATGGGTCAGCACGCAGAGTCTGGTGCACAAGTCACAGAGCCTGGGCACGTCGTCACTGGGGGTGGGTTCTCTTCATGGAAGAATCCAGGTTTGCTTTACAATTCAACGATGGCAGAGTTCACGTCTACCGACAGCCTGGATAGATATTTGCTGACGTCAACGTCAGACAGCGTCATCGTTTTGGTGGCAGTACTGTCATGGTTTGGGGTGGGATTTCAATGCACCACAGGTCTTCCCTATATGTCGTCCAAGGAAATTTGACCGGTATCAGATACAGAAACAAGATTTTACACCCTTTTATTGTTCCCACTCTTCGCCAAATTAGAGCTGGTTCGATTCTTCAAAATGACAATGCTAGACCCCATCAGGCCAGGCTCAATAATTTTCTCAACCCAAAAGGCATTCAACGAATGGATTGGCCTGCATACTGGCCTGATTTGGCACCAATTGAGCATGCATGGGATGAGTTGGGGAGACGAGTGACAGACAATCATAGGCAACCTGATACCCTTCCAGAATTGGCCCACTTCCTTCAGGTAGAGTTGCAGGCTATTCCACAACCGTTCTTTCAACATCTGATCGACAGCATGCCTCAACGGAGCATCAACTGTTTACAAGCACGAGGTGCTGTCACTCGGTATTGACATGGTGAACGTGTGTAACACAGTTCTGTTTGACCCCTAAATTGATTTGCAAGCTTCTGGTTCTCACAACTTACCAAACTGTATTACAATGAATTTAAAATATTTCTTTTTCGGTATCATAACAAAATATCATCAATAAATATTGTGACCCTTAACTTGTTTTGAGTAGTACATATCAGAAATGTCAGCAATTGCATTAAATAGCAAAAACAAAGAAAGTATATACAATCTCAAAACAACTCTTCTTTAAATGCGAAGTACTTTCACTCCTTCACATATTTAATAACATAACTGTTACATTGTCATGTCATCATAGTAAACATGACATCTTCGTCACTACAGTGTAACGTCATGACCAGGAATGATACATGGGCGCCAAATTACACTGGTAGAGATTTGTCCTCATATTCATGGCCTTTTCAAGGCTTTTTTCTAGGCACTTGTAGTCAGATTCATCATGAATTGAAATTAGAACACTTGTTATACAAGCAATCAGCATGCAAACTAGTTATGCAAAATCAGCTAGCCCATACACAAACTGTTGACGTTCTTTTAACATTAGATCCTCATTGACAAGGCAAAATAATGATAGACAGTCGTTTAAGGAGTTAATATCACTTCTTGTCTTTTGTTTGTCTCTTGAAATTGTTTCCTTCTTCTCTCATTTAACTCATCAATCGAGACTGTTCATTTCGCAAAGCTCCATTTTTGTTACTTGACCAGCGTGTATTCTTTTGCTTCCAACAGCAGTCTCCCAGTTTTCAAGAATATTTTTTGTTAAAGTTGATTTTGTATAAAATGTATGATAAAGATCATGACCCTAAATATTTTTTGATACTTTTTTTATATTTTTTAAGATTTTGCAAACACGAAACTACATTTTTAGTCGCAAAGTACAAGGGACGCTAAACCATCCCTTTGAGTTAGGTAGGGAGACAAAAGAAACATGATATTTCACTCGACACGTGGTATATCCTCTGTATATTACAGAAACAAACCCTACCCTCATCTAAATCTAAGTCCAGCTTGTTGCCTTGGAAATGCGAAACTCCTATGTAGCAAAAGGCACCAGTTCAACACATGCCTGACATGCATACAAAGTTTCACAAAGAAATCTGAATATTTTGTGACTTTCGTTCTAGATAGTAATGTACAGACAGAATCAGTTTCTATATCACATGACAAACTTCGTCAGAACAGGGAATAGTCGTTTGGGTGAGGGGGCGGTCGGGTAGCCTGGTGGTTAAAGCGTTCGCTCGTCACGACGAAGCCACGGGTTCGAATCCCGTCATGGGTACAATGTGTGAAGCCCATTTCTGGTGTCCGCCGCCGTGATATTGCTGGAATATTGCTAAAAGCGGCATAAAACCAAACTCACTCACTCACTCACACTCACGTTTGGGTGAGAAATAGTTCAGTCACTACATGTACCCGAATGGTCTTCAAAATGGACGATGGCATGTCTTGGATCTTTTATTATGTTCACTTTTTCCACAGGGAGTTCTTTTGCATTGCCTGCCCTTTTACTTTCAAAGTAGATTGCTAGTCTGTGAGTGGATGTCCTGGCCATGATGCCAGTGACTTGGATACAGTTGGAGACCGGTACTGCAGACAGCTCCAGGAACGCCCCTTCCAGGGGATGCTTCCGGCACACACGCTGCATCTTCTTCAGTTCTGGAAGATGACAGGCAGATCATATTATTGTGTTAAGGTGAAACAATGTCTTATTTTCTGGCTTACTGATCAAGTGATCACAGCCAAAGGTGACAGAACAAACAATAGTCCATCGTTACTTTAGCTTACCTACTATGTGATCACCATACAGAAGACAACGATGCTCCACAGGTCTTAGTCAATGCTCCAAGTATTAGTCTTGGCCAAGGCATTGTACTAAGAACTTTAGTAAATCTAAGCTATAATCACTGAGTAAATGAAGAATAGACTATTCAATAATTATATGACAAGTATGAGTTTTCTGTGTGAAAATCCTTTGCATAGTCAGATAAATCATTGGCTGGAATTCAACAGTTTTTCTTTTGACAGATAAGAGCGAAGTCATCTTAGATTGCTTGTTAACATTCTGCCCATGTCTATATCTCTTTCAATATTGTAAGCGTTAACATGACATAAGAAAATATGATATTGAATATTTTGATCATTGGGTTCCTTGTGACCTTGACCTTAATCAGAGGGCATCCACAATCTTATAAAAAAAAGAGCCACAATGGAGGTCAAGAAACGCAAAGCAGGATTACTCTTAAACATCTTATGAAAGTTTCAAAACAATGGTTACTGAGGAGTCTGGAGTCTGTAGAATATGTAAAAGTACTGTCATGGAACTGTAGCTCACCTGGATATTTAGTCAAGATGCTAAATGTCAACCAAATTCATTTGGTAAAATGAAATGAAGGCGTTGGTAGCCCACAAATATTGTTTATTGTTTTGCTCAATGATTGAACGATGTATCCCGACAAAGTTGTCTTTGTGATCTACATGCATGAAAAAGTAAAAGAAATGCAGTTATTTAAGAAATATAATCCAAAATTAAACAGTGTTTTCTATAAACAACACACAGTTAAAATGTTGATTCTGTTGACTGGCATTAAGGAAGTTCAAAGGCAATAAAATGATTAAATCAACAACAGTTCTCTGATTGGTATGCGGAGAAGGTGTCAAAAACTTGAAGGCAGATGACAGGACAAAGGCCATAGATCTGGCGAGTGTGGTGAAGCCCATCGGTACATGTTGGGTCATGTCGGCCTTTGACGCAGTGTTGCATTGGTGGTGTCTGTCTGGACTGCTGGAGTGGTCAATGATACCTAGTTTGACCTCGTAGAACTCATGACCCCAGCAGTGATAGCTCACAAGATGTCTATTGTGTAATTCCTATTCTTTGAATGACAGGGTAATATATACTCAACAACAAAAGTTCTTGTGACACCAATATTTTAGTGTATTTTTCAAACAAGTAAAGTTTGGTTTTTCAATATTGTAGTACATGTATAGAATCAAGTCACAAAAACGCAACTGCTACAAAAAAGCATGCATTTCATGCAAAAGTTGACTTTTATGCAAGCCCCATGCATTTCACTACCCAAGAATGGGTATAAAATTATAAGCGGTAACGGGATTCCATATGCATTGTTTAGCATCGTGCTGACAACAACCACTCAGAAAAACAACAAAATTACGCAATTATTCAACATTACAAAATGCCACACCTGTCCGAAAATGAGCATCTGCGCGCCATTGGTATGCTTGAAGCAGGATAGAGTCAACGTGATGTTGCAAGACAATCTAACGTCCACAGAAACACTATTTGGTGTTTATGGCAACGTTGGCAACAGACGAATGCAGTCAGAGACCATCCTCGGAGTGGCAGACCATGCGTAAACAATAATTGACAAATCGATTCCAGCCAGCAACAGTGACTGCAAGAAGCATCCCTGACCTTCGACGAATATCTTCACAAAACCGAACATCGCTGCCTCAGATGTGCAGGAATTGTCGCCAAAAGACCCGCCAGACGTCCCATTTTGACAGGAAACCACCGTCAAGCACTTCTACAGTGGTGCAGACAGCATCTACGCTGGACGGCCATGCTATTCACTGACTAGTCTTGTTTTCACCTCAGACACAGCGATGGATGGATTCGAGTGTAACGACATCGAGGTGAACGTTACGTCAATCATTGTGCCATGGAAGAAGATCGATTTGGGGGCGGCAGCGTTATGGTATGGGGTGGGATTACAGCAAGACAGCTAGAGGACCTGTTTGATAGTGGTAGAGGGAAATCTCAATGGACAGCGCTACCGCGACGGGATCATCGGCCCTGTTGTTCTACCGTTTTAGCGTCGTCATGGCCCAGGCATTACCTTTCAACATGACAACACCCGGCCTCATATTGCTTGACTCGTTCAGGATTCTCTTCAACAAAACAACGTGAATGTCATCCCCTGGCCGGCTCATGTGGGATGAGATGGATCGACGCCTTCAACATCAACCACATGTTCCACAGACACTCCAGGAACTTCGAAACAAGGTCCAGCAGATATGGACAGATATCCCACAGGACTTTGTGCCACGCCTGGTCAATTCCATGAGATTAAGATGTGTTGCAACCAACACACACGCTATTGATTTGTAAATTTACATTTTGGCATGTTCATGGTTTTTTTATGAAATCACGCATTTTCTGAAGTCAGTGTGGCAAATTAAACCATTTGAACACTTGCAGGAGTCTTTTATCTATTGCAAACCGAAATTGTTTCAGATTTTGTAAAAAACATAACTTTGCATTAAATCATATTCAATGTCACAAGAACTTTTGTTGTTCAATATACTTGTTACAACTGCTGCTCAATAAACCGTGTTAGTGTTTGTGTTTATATTCAAGTTGGCATTTCCGCTATCCAAAGTGTGCAGTGAGGCCGTCTTATTGTTGATAGTCATTTTGGAGAAAAAAATGCGAAGTTTCATAAAAGCGTACAAAGACCGCTCACATTTTTCGGATTTCATTCACGCTACCAAATTTCACTCAATTGGAACCTCTTGAACATCATTGGTGGGTACAAGTTTGTAAAATTTCAGCTTTGCTGGTCCAGGGATTTCTAAGGAGAAGATGTTTACAATGGACCACGGATAAACAGGCCACGACATATGCTTCCTTGACTTTCAATCAGATGAGCTGAAAGTGATACTGAACATGCTGAACCGTTCAGTGTATTAGAAGAACAGACTTATAACTGAAGCCCAAACTAATAGACGGACAGATGACAGATGAAGACCCATGATATAATTGTTAATGTCAAGGTGATAAATACATTGTAGGTACTTATGAATTGAATTCTGATCATACACAGAACATTTTATGAATGGTCCCAAAAATATATATATACATATATATATACATATATATTTATATATAATTTACTAACTTCGTGATCCTTGTGTGACTTCTATATTAACAAGAACAGATCCAGGTTCCTCCCCGTACACAAGATCCTTGGGATGACAGGCCAGTTTATGCTTCAGGAACTTCATCAAGGTCTTTTCAGTGGTCTTCTCTCGGAGTCCGGTGATGAAGAATCTGTCATGATACTGTGGCCGAGGGGGAGGAGGGGTGGGATGTCTGTACAGACTCACCAGCAGCTTGTGCCCATCCACAATGTGGTCTTGCTTGGCAACAACAGCTTCTGCTTCTGTCGAACAAAAACAGAGTTGGAAAAGAATATGTAATAATAAACCAAATCTGTGCAATACACATTTACTTGCAATAAATAAATGCATGTATAATTGCTTCAACTTTTCATGTTTTATCTCCTAGTTATTTTCTATTTGGTGCACTTTTGCTGCACCTTGGACTTAGCATCACAGGGCACCAAACAATTCAAGTCACCAATTTGGGTATTGATAGTTTTCCTTGGGAATCCAATATATTAACACCCTTGGGTCCAGTCTATTGGGTATTTTTACATCAATGTTTTTCTACTCCAATCCTGCTTAAAATGACCGCCTCCGTGGCCTAGTGGTAGAGCATCCGCCCGGAGAGCGGCAGGTTTGAGGTTCGATCCCCGGCCGCATCATACCAAAAGACGTTAAAAGATGGTACTTATTGTTACCCTGTCAGGCGCTCGGCATTAAGGGGCTAAAACAAGGACTGGTCGGCTCGGAGTCAGTGTACTGTGTCTGAGAGGGGTATTCATGGTAAACTGCGGCATGGTATCTCAGTGATAGCACTATAAATCGGCATCAGTCCAGACTAGTACAAGCAGCCACACACGTGCATGCCCGTCGCTATATAAGTGCAATAATCTTGAACGCAATGTTAAACTCCATTCATTTCACCTCACCTCACCTCACCTCACCTTACCTCACCTGCTTAAAATGCAGTTTCAGGTGACTTCTAATTGTATCTTTTCGAGTGCTGTCCCAAATATGTAGCAGTCACATAAACTCACAACACAGATATACATGTCTAACTAACAAAAACAGGTACTCAATTTGAAAATGATACAATTATGCTGAATGTTTTTATACCATTTGGTATTGAAATCTTTTATGGGTATTATCTGCATGCAAATTAATTGTGCAGTGGTTCCTTATTTTGTGTAATTTAGGCAAATATGAGCATTTCCGGATAAATGCAATGTTTTTACATTTACCTGATGCTACACAGTGCTTTAGCTTTCCTACCTTATACAAACAGACAGTACTGGAACAGAGACAGTTGAAACAGACTACAGCCCGTGCAATACCTAGGAGTTATCCATCTGGGCCCCATCTCTCTCATTTTCTTCTCTGTTTAACAGCAAGCGCAGCAGACTGTGGTGCCAGAATGGTAAGGCGGAGGAGGTGGACAAAGTCCAGGACCCACTTGCACAAAGCGATCTTAGCGCTAAGATGATCATAACTCCCATACTTTAACATAGGCTTACGATAATCGTAGCGCTAAGATAGCTTTGTGCAAGTGGGCCCTGGTTGGCTTAAAGGTGTAGTGTCAGATAAGTACAAAACAGTTGCATTTATCCTGATATACCTGATGCTATACAGAGTTTTATTTGACTGAGGGAACGCAGGCTTAGTGTAATAAGCGCCAGTCATGATGAGGAAGCACCGAGACAGCGTCAGGTAAGGATCCCTCCAGAATGTTCATAAAGAAGCTCAAACAAGGTGTGGTCCTACCTTGTCAGCAGGTGCGAGCAGAGCCAGTTGGAATGAAGACAATCTTGTTCCTCTTTCAGGGTAGGGTCAATGGTGTGGGGGGTCAGGCAGGGCCAAGACAAGCCGTAACTTCCCTCCATGATAAATCTGTACTGATATGTTGGCGTGGAGGGCCATCATGGATGATAGAGCATGTATCTCTTGGGGGTTGACATCCCACCGAGGCAGCAAGTCAGCACAACAACCATAAGGAGGGTCTCACTGGCAGAGGTCGAGGGGTTGATATAGTGTTGGATTTGGTTGAAACTGATCAGGTGGAACTTGTTGCCGTTCGTCAGAAATAGGCCGCCAATGAAAGTGAAGTAGCGAGAGGGAGTAAGATCTGTTTTCTCCAAGTTGCCCACCCAGCCCAGCTGAATGAGAATAGGTCATTCAGAGAATGTCAGAGAATGCAGTCGTCTATATATGCGTAGAACTAAACCCCCCCTGGTGTAGGTGTGCAATGATGGGCTTGGTTATAAACTACGAGGCCATTGAAATTTCAAATAGGAAATTCCACTGGAAGTGCCGGACCCATAAGATGATGAGGAGGAAGTGACCATGTGCTGTTTGAATGGGAACATGCAGGTAAGCGTCCTGCAGGTCCAAACAAATAAGATGCTCGATCAGTTTGATCATGTGGTGGAGGAGCGAGGTGGGGTTGATTAAATAGCGCCTGATTGTGAATCATCTTCATCTTGGAGGACCCCTTCTGAGGAACCAGGAAGACGTCGACGTTGGCCTGTGGTTCATACCAGTCCTATCTGGGGACTGACGCTTGGGATGGAAGGAAAAACACTTTCTAGTGGGGCATCTTCATTTGCCAACATAGGTTCTCTTCTGTTCTTTCTGAGTGAGCGTAGATGACAGGAGGTGTTCCATGTTTTTCGGGAGACGAAATTGTTGTTGGTTTGCCTCCAAACTCTTAGCCTCCTAAGTGACCTCAGGGATGTGGTGGTGGAAGAGCACTGAACCAGACCAAGGTTGCCTCACGACATGAGTCTTAAAGGAAGGATTCCATGAAGAATGTTTAAGGAGAGCCATGCGTCTAGCAATGGTGATGAAACCGAGGCAATACTGCAGATAAGTCAAGCTGGTATTGCTGCCAGTCCAACATGGAGAGAAGTTGATCATTAGCTTCTAAAGGGTTCTTGTCTAAAGAGACTTGGAAAGCCAAGTTGGGGAATGCCACTGCCGACAGTGGGAATGACAAGAGCCGCATCCACCCCCAACCCCACCCCAGTTGAACTTTTGACACAGAAACCGATGAACTTGGCTTGGATGACCACAAAAAGCAGGCGTACTTCCTCAACCACAGGAGGCAATACATCAGCAAAATCTTTGAGTGGAAAGGGACGTGCTCCTTCCTGAACCGAGGGATCTGAACAGAAAGTTGAACTGGGAAGGCAGTAAAGGCATCATCCACATAGTGGGAAACATCAGCAACGAGCAGATCCCAGGGGAGACCATCCTCCGAATACATGACCCTTTGCTCCAGGGAACATGATCCACTAGCCAGGCAGACATATCAGGGGACGACTCATCTTAATCGGTGGATAAATCCTGCTTGTCACTCGAGTGGCGACAGGTAGTGTGGCGACGATCATGGGACATGCCACACTGGCATTGTCTAATAGGTGTGTAAGACGGATCCTGGAGCTGAACATCTGACGCACGTGGCATTCCCGAGGCCCTGAGGTGCCAGGTCGCCAGTGGTGAAGGAGGCGATGCTCTGTGCGAACCGTGATGATGTCAGTCTAGCACTATTGGCATCTGACGAAAGTTTGCGAAGGCCTCAGGCATCAGAGCAGTCACCAGGAGTACAGGAAGGGCGATGGGAACCCCCAGACAGTCGGAAAGAAGTGTATGATGAGGCACAGGAATGATGATCAGTCAGGCAGTGGCGAAACCAGTGCAAGTGGGCGGCAAAACCAGATTGCAAGACGATGTTGAAGCATCTGTTCCCCTAAAGCTCATATGGATGCAGGTTAAATAAGAATCAGTTGGGGCATCAACTGGGGAGGAAGACCCAGAGGCCCAGGCATGGGCACAGATGAGTATTGGGAGGAGGCAAAGCCAACAACAGCGGAGGAGATGTCGGCAACGGAGGTGGAGGATACAACATCAGAGTCTTTCTGTAAGAAGTGAAATCTTGATGGATAAACGAGGGCAAACAGAGCATTGATCGCCCAAATCATACAACAACCGGCAGTAAGGGCAAAGACGATGGGTTCTTTCCCAAATTTGGAGAGTCAACAATCAAAACGCATAGAATACATTCTGCAAAAAATGTAAACAAGTAAACAAAGCACCCAAACACAACCCCAGTGTGTAGACTGCCTGTGAGGCAACAAAACCATTGTACACCTAATAATAGGAAATATGTTAAAACACAACATGCTATTTGTTTGTTTGTTATCTTGTTGTTAGTTTGTGTAGACGAGAAAATCCAATGAATGAGATCATGAGTGAGATTTATGCAATTGAGAAACGATGACATGCATCAAACAAGTCAGTGAACCCTAACCACCCGATTGCCTCTTACGGCAAGCATGGGTTGCTGAAAACCTATTCTAACACAGATCTTCATGGGTGCAAGCGACATGCTAAAGCAAGATGGCAACCATGGCACAAAATGTGCTAAGTTAAACTCACACTGAATAGAATTAAACAAATAAAAGCAGAAATATACCCCAAGAAGTGTATATATTCTTGACAAGGAATTCGAAGCTAAGAGCACTGTTGCAATATAACATATCTGTCGCAGGCAGAGAAGAATTTGAGGGAGTATGGGTCAAGGTGGGTCCTGGGTATCGGGGCCAAAGCACTGTGTAGCATCCAGATAAGGTAAAACATGCAGCTTACCTGGAACTCTGGCATCACCTAGTTGACTCTTATCAGACTTTTCTTTGTTTAGGCCATACTAAAAAATTCTCCGTTAGTATTAAGTTGAGTTGGTTGGTAGGTAGTGAGATGTTTTGGGGTTGTTTTCTTTAATGAAGACAACTAAATTATTACTGACAGACAGACATTTGATGAGTGTATACACCTATTTTTAAAGACATGTGCCACCAAAGGTCCTATCTGATTCATTTGTCCGAGGTTGTTAAACAGTTTTTAACAATTCTGAATAGATAATCCATAAGGAAACTATACCTTCTTTGCTTCCAAAAACAACATATTTTGCATGTTCTTGGTCATCCCCAATGACCTCATTCACGGCAGCCCCCCCACTCCTCTTCGTGTTCTCAAAGTACATGGTCAGTACATCATCACTTGTCAATCCATATTTCTCCACTTTCACAACTGTTCCTTCTTTCTTTCCTTTCAAGACAGTATCCATGGTAACCAAACCAGGCTGTTTGGAAGGGAGATATTCAGAGACTTCAATTGTTTTGTTTTCTAGGACAAGTGGTGCCTTCTTGAGAACCCTCCTCACAACTGAAAACATAACACGCTAACACATTCACAAGTAGTTCAAGTAGATTTTCACAAACAGTTTCTTTACAACCCAGTCAAAGTCTATGAACATCTGAACATGTGCTGCTTGGTATCATATCTTCACATCCTTAATGTAGTGGACATCATATACACACGTGTAACGTTGTGGGTATCATATACACACGTGTAACATAGTGGGTATCATATACACACGTGTAACGTTGTGGGTATCATATACACACGTGTAACATAGTGGGTATCATATACACACGTGTAACGTTGTGGGTATCATATACACACGTGTAACATAGTGGATATCATACACACGTGTAACATAGTGGGTATCATATACACACATGTAACATAGTGGGTATCATATACACATGTGTAACATAATGGGAATCATATACACACGTGTAACATAGTGGGTATCATATACACACGTGTAACATAGTGGGTATCATATACACACATGTAACATAGTGGATATCATATACACACGTATAACATAGTTGGTATCATATACACACATGTAACAAAGTGGGCATCATATATACACATGTAACATAGTGGGCATCATATACACACATGTAACAAAGTGGGCATCATATACACACGTGTAACATAGTGGGCATCATACACACAAGTGTAACATAGTGGGTATCATACACACAAGTGTAACATAGTGGGTATCATATACACACATGTAACATAGTAGGTATCATATACACACATGTAACAAAGTGGGCATCATATACACACATGTAACAAAGTGGCCCTCATATACACACATGTAACATAGTTGGCATCATATACACACATGTAACAAAGTGGGCATCATATACACACGTGTTACATAGTGGACATCATACACACGTGTAACATAGTGGGTATCATATGCATAAGTGTAACGTAGTGGGTATCATATACACATGTGTAACATAGTGGGTATCATACACACGTGTAACATAGTGGGTATAATACACATGTGTAACAAAGTGGGCATCATATACACACGTGTAACATAGTGGGTATCATATACACACATGTAACAAAGTGGCCATCATATATACACAAGTAACATAGTGGGCATCATATACACACATGTAACATAGTTGGCATCATATACACACATGTAACAAAGTGGGCATCATATACACACGTGTTACATAGTGGACATCATACACACGTGTAACATAGTGGGTATCATATGCACAAGTGTAACGTAGTGGGTATCTGTACACATATGTAACATAGTGGGTATCATACACACGTGTAACATAGTGGGTATAATACACAAGTGTAACATAGTGGGTATCATATACACAAGTGTAACAAAGTGGGTATCATATACACATGTGTAGCATAGTGGGTATCATATACACATGTGTAACATAGTGGGTATCATATACACACATGTAACAAAGTGGGCACCATATACACAAGTGTAACATAGTGGGTATCATATACACACATGTAACAAAGTGGGCATCATATATACACATGTAACATAGTGGGCATCATATACACACATGTAACAAAGTGGATATCATATACACACGTGTAACATAGTGGGTATCATATACACACATGTAACAAAGTGGGCATCATATATACACATGTAACATAGTGGGCATCATATACACACATGTAACAAAGTGGGCATCATATACACACGTGTAACATAGTAGGTATCATATACAAACATGTAACAAAGTGGATATCATATACACACGTGTAACATAGTGGGTATCATATACACACGTGTAACAAAGTGGGCATCATATATACACATGTAACATAGTGGGCATCATATACACACATGTAACAAAGTGGGCATCATATACACACGTGTTACATAGTGGACATCATACACACGTGTAACATAGTGGGTATCATATGCACAAGTGTAACATAGTGGGTATCATATACACATGTGTAACATAGTGGGTACCATACACACGTGTAACATAGTGGGTATAATACACATGTGTAACATAGTGGGTATCATATACACAAGTGTAACATAGTGGGTATCATATACACATGTGTAGCATAGTGGGTATCATATACACATGTGTAGCATAGTGGGTATCATATACACATGTGTAACATAGTGGGTATCATACACACATGTAACATAGTGGGTATCATATACACATATGTATCATAGTAGGCATCATATACACACATGTAACAAAGTGGGTATCATATACACATGTGTAGCATAGTGGGTATCATATACACATATGTATCATAGTGGGCATCATATACACACATGTAACAAAGTGGGTATCATATACACAAGTGTAACATAGTGGGTATCATATACACATGTGTAGCATAGTGGGTATCATATACACATGTGTAGCATAGTGGGTATCATATACACACGTGTAACACAGTGGGTATCATATACACATGTGTAGCATAGTGGGTATCATATACACATATGTATCATAGTGGGCATCATATACACACATGTAACAAAGTGGGTATCATATACACAAGTGTAACATAGTGGGTATCATATACACATGTGTAGCATAGTGGGTATCATATACACATGTGTAGCATAGTGGGTATCATATACACACGTGTAACATAGTGGGTATCATATACACACATGTAACAAAGTGGGCATCATATACACACATGTAACATAGTGGGTATCATATACACACATGTAACAAAGTGGGCATCATATACACACATGTAACAAAGTGGATATCATATACCCACGTGTAACATAGTGGGTATTATATACACACATGTAACAAAGTGGGCATCATATATACACATGTAACATAGTGGGCATCATATACACACATGTAACAAAGTGGGCATCATGTACACACGTGTAACATAGTGGGCATCATATACACACATGTAACATAGTGGGCATCATATATACACATGTAACATAGTGGGCATCATATACACACATGTAACAAAGTGGGCATCATGTACACACGTGTTACATAGTGGACATCATACACACGTGTAACATAGTGGACATCATACACACGTGTAACATAGTGGGTATCATATGCACAAGTGTAACATAGTGGGTATCATATACACATGTGTAGCATAGTGGGTACCATACACACGTGTAACATAGTGGGTATAATACACATGTGTAACATAGTGGGTATCATATACACAAGTGTAACATAGTGGGTATCATATACACAGGTGTAGCATAGTGGGTATCATATACACAGGTGTAACATAGTGGGTGTCATATACAGATGTGTAGCATAGTGGGTATCAATTACACATGTGTAACATAGTGGGTATCATATACACACATGTAACAAAGTGGGCATCATATATACACATGTAACAAAGTGGGCATCATATACACACGTGTTACATAGTGGACATCATACACACGTGTAACATAGTGGGTATCATATGCACAAGTGTAACGTAGTGGGTATCATAAACACATGTGTAACATAGTGGGTATCATACACACGTGTAACATAGTGGGTATAATACACATGTGTAACATAGAGGGTATCATATACACAAGTGTAACATAGTGGGTATCATATACACATGTGTAGCATAGTGGGTATCATATACACATGTGTATCATAGTGGGCATCATATACACACATGTAACAAAGTGGGTATCATATACACAAGTGTAACATAGTGGGTATCATATTCACATGTGTAGCATAGTGGGTATCATATACACATGTGTAACATAGTGGGTATCATATACACACATGTAACAAAGTGGATATCATATACACACGTGTAACATAGTGGGTATCATATACACACATGTAACAAAGTGGGCATCATATATACACATGTAACATAGTGGGCATCATATACACACATGTAACAAAGTGGGCATCATATACACACGTGTAACATAGTAGGTATCATATACAAACATGTAACAAAGTGGATATCATATACACACGTGTAACATAGTGGGTATCATATACACACATGTAACAAAGTGGGCATCATATATACACATGTAACATAGTGGGCATCATATACACACATGTAACAAAGTGGGCATCATATACACACGTGTAACATAGTAGGTATCATATACACACATGTAACAAAGTGGGCATCATGTACACACGTGTTACATAGTGGACATCATACACACGTGTAACATAGTGGACATCATACACACGTGTAACATAGTGGGTATCATATGCACAAGTGTAACATAGTTGGCATCATATACACACATGTAACAAAGTGGGCATCATATACACATATGTAACATAGTGGGCATCATATACACACATGTAACAAAGTGGGTATCATATACACAAGTGTAACATAGTGGGTGTCATATACACATGTGTAGCATAGTGGGTATCATATACACACGTGTAACATAGTGAGTATCATATACACACGTGTAGCATAGTGGGTATCATATACACATGTGTAACATAGTGGGTGTCATATACACATGTGTAGCATAGTGGGTATCAATTACACATGTGTAACATAGTGGGTATCATATACACACATGTAACAAAGTGGGCATCATATACACACGTGTTACATAGTGGACATCATACACACGTGTAACATAGTGGGTATCATATGCATAAGTGTAACATAGTGGGTATCATATACACATGTGTAACATAGTGGGTATCATATGCACATGTGTAACATAGTGGGTATCATATACACAAGTGTAACATAGTGGGTATCATATACACATATGTATCATAGTGGGCATCATATACACACATGTAACAAAGTGGGTATCATATACACAAGTGTAAAATAGTGGGTATCATATACACATGTGTAGCATAGTGGGTATCATATACACATGTGTAACAAAGTGGGTATCATATACACAGGTGTAGCATAGTGGGTATCATATACACAGGTGTAACATAGTGGGTGTCATATACAGATGTGTAGCATAGTGGGTATCAATTACACATGTGTAACATAGTGGGTATCATATACACACATGTAACAAAGTGGGCATCATATATACACATGTAACAAAGTGGGCATCATATACACACGTGTTACATAGTGGACATCATACACACGTGTAACATAGTGGGTATCATATGCACAAGTGTAACGTAGTGGGTATCATAAACACATGTGTAACATAGTGGGTATCATACACACGTGTAACATAGTGGGTATAATACACATGTGTAACAAAGTGGGTATCATATACACAAGTGTAACATAGTGGGTATCATATACACATGTGTAGCATAGTGGGTATCATATACACATATGTATCATAGTGGGCATCATATACACACATGTAACATAGTGGGTATCATATACACAAGTGTAACATAGTGGGTATCATATACACATGTGTAGCATAGTGGGTATCATATACACATGTGTAACATAGTGGGTATCATACACATGTGTAACATAGTGGGTATCATATACACACGTGTAACATAGTGGGTATCATATACACATGTGTAGCATAGTGGGTATCATATACACACGTGTAACATAGTGAGTATCATATACACACGTGTAGCATAGTGGGTATCATATACACATGTGTAGGATAGTGGGTATCATATACACATGTGTAGCATAGTGGGCATCATATACACATGTGTAGCATAGTGGGTATCATATACACATGTGTAGCATAGTGGGTATCATACACACGTGTAACATAGTGGGTATCATATACACATGTGTAACATAGTGGGTATCATATACACAGGTGTAACATAGTGGGTGTCATATACACATGTGTAGCATAGTGGGTATCATATACACATGTGCAACATAGTGGGTATCATATACACACATGTAACAAAGTGGGCATCATATACACACATGTAACATAGTGGGTATCATATACACAAATGTAACATAGTGGGTATCATATACACACGTGTATTGTAGCGGCTGTCATATACACACATTCGTAAAAAAAATAAGAAAAATATAGCATGTGAATCAATTCAGAGTTACTGTTCATCAATTCTGAAAACTTTAATGTCACTTTTTATCCACATCTCGGACATTACAGTCTATGGAACATTAGCTTAACTAATGAGAAACAAATCATCTGATGAGTGAAGAAAAGACAATTAAATAACCTTCCTCTAACATTCTCATGAACATGATGTACATGTTATGTGTTTCATAGTAGGAATCTTGCATGTCTGTTTATCAAATGTAATTCATGTCTTGTGCATGTTACTTTCCCCCTGAGTTTTACATGCCCTTTTTGAATTAAGGAATAATGACCCTGATCTGTGACCTTGCCAACAATATAAACAGGCACAGAATTAGAATTAAAAAAATATTTTTGAAAAAAAATAATTGACTTTTACTCAGATCAGCTGGTATTTTTAGGTGTTTGTTGATTGTTTTATTGAACTACTTTAAGTAACTTCTTTTAGAAATGCTAGATATACATGTAATCAAACTACAACTTGTAGTCATTATACTTCATTCTAAGCTGCTTCACTTACCATCGCCTTCCACAAAGTAGACAAGTGCTGTTGCTGAGTCTCTGTCAATCTCCACGATATCCACCTCTCCTCCTCCATTTCGACGTCGGTTTTCAAAAAAGTCCGTCAGAATTTCGTTTGTCACAGTATTTGCCAATCCTTGGACAAGGATAACAAAGACACTGTTATCATCTTCCTCTTCCTCTTCATCCTCATCCTCTTCTGAAAAAACCCACAAAAACATTCAATGACTGAAATCCTCATTTAAACAAGTTTCAAATACTCATTTTATCCCCTGCCAGTATGACATGTCTGGTTGTGTGCAAGGCATTAGCCCCTGTGAACTATGTTCACTGGAACTGTTTGTAAATGGCCTAATTGCAGCACTAAAAAGATAATTACTGGTGTTTCTTGCCATTTCAATAGAATTTGTAACTGTATTTGTGATGAGTTTTGTTATTACTAAAACAATAATCAGAGAAGTAAGGGAGTTCTTACTTCACTTAGAGATCAATGAGACAGGGGTCACCATGAGATGTACTAAGAAGTACAACACCAATCATCTGATGATTTAAGTAGTAGACAGGAGTCTGGAATGCCACAGCACTGGCATGATCAGTAAACAACAAGTCCAGTGTAACTCCAAGACAGTGACTTGGAGAGTGAAACAAAACGTGACGGATGGACGGAAGGATGGAAGGATGGATGGACAGCACCTATTACCATATCCCCCTTACACTTACACTTCGTGGCGGTGGTTAATAAAATAAAATCTGCTCGTATTGAAACAACAAATCAATGGCAACTGAATGGGAAAGTCATAGATCGTTTCTTGCATTTTCCTTCTGCTCCAAATATTAATTCATTTCTCAAGTTTTCAGTTGCCTGTCAACGAAAAATATACGATGCATTTTGGACACTAACTGCAGAACTCAAGAATCAATGACATAGACTTGAAAGGTTTACAACTATACACAACTCAGGCAAAAATCCAAAATTGAAAGGAAAAAAATAGGTCATGAATATTTGAGTAGACAGTTGGCCATTAACCACATAGTTATTCCCAAATATTAACCCTGACATACGACTGTCGTAGTGCTATGACCGCTAGAAATACAAGAGTCATTAGAAGATGACACATCTCCCCGGCCCCCAAAATTCGAAAGGACAAGTCATGTGACTGTTATTTAAGTCCAACTTGATGAGATTTCTATCTAATCAAAACAAGAGTAGTTACTGAGCTATCAAAACAATACCATGGAATTGGGATTCGGAACTTTGTATTTCTATGTCAATTACACACCGATATATGAACAGAATCAAAGTCAAACTTGTTGCCATGGTAATGGAAAAAAAGTAAATTCTAAAAATTAGTAAAATCTAAAATTTTTACATTTGTATACTTATCCTGCATTACTCCGTATTGCATCTACTGCTGTCTTTTGACAGAGAGACGAACTGTGTGAGATCCAGCTGCTGAAGAAAGTTGTACCAACCATTTCAGGAGGCAGCGCCCTCTCACAGTCGGCACGTGACCTGGAAGTCATGACGTCACACCAAAACACATAACTGCTTTAAACATAACATCTGAAACTTCGTGGGGAGGAAGCGTAGCGAAAGGGAGGGCACTTAGACTTCGTAATGCAGGATAAGTATACAAATGTAAAAAATATTTAGATTTTACCAAATTTTTTAACTTATCCTGCATTACTCCGTATTGCATCTTTATCAGACGGCATGGCCGGTGGGCATACCTTCAGATGTGATGCATAACAAACCCTCGTCAAGGTCCGATGAATCCGCACCGCATACAAGTGATGACCGGAACATCTACGACCATTCCTGTCTTCAGGAAACAAGAGTCGATGCAAAAACGAAACGCCCGAATAGGTAACCGAAATACAATGAGGCGGGTAGCCAAAAAATAGAACTTACCGAAGAGCGAAAGCGAAACGCAGTTGATCCCTCTAATCTGAGGTGATAAACACCAGAGAGTTTGACGGGCCCCGCTCGGGGTATCGAAGAATCAGCGGCGGCGGCGGCGGCAATATCTACGACCAATCCCAAGAGCGAATGCGAGGAGCGACGTAACTCTAGAGGCGCCGTGAGCGCCGTAACTCTAGAGGCGCCGGGTGCGCCTTAATTCTAGAGGCGCCGGAGACAGGGGCCAGAGTAGTTGAGGCGCCGGAGGCGCAAGGAGCGCCGTTACTCTAGACGCTGGAGACAGGTGCCGGAGGGGCCGGGAGCGCCGGAACTCTAGAGGCGCCAGAGGCGTCGGAGACATCAGAGGCGCCGGGAGCGCCGGAGCTCTTGAGGCGCCGGAGTAGTCAGCGTTGTCGACGAAGATGGTGACAGGAAACCCGTTACGGGCAATGCTGAAGACGATGGTAAGGATGGTGTAGGAGACCGTGAACGGTCGTATGTCATGCCATGGGAGGCAGACTCTACGTTGGGAGCGCCGGAGCCACCGGTGGTGTTGGTATAGCACTGCTAGGCTCGGCTGAGCGCTGCTGCTGTCAACGTAGATGGGGGTCGGCGAGCACGTTGAGCGAGGTGTGTCCTGGACACTCGTATGAGCTGAAGGATCACAGCGACAAATGACTGCAACATCTGCACTGCCTTGTGAAAGTACAGGGCGTCGTACAATCACGGCAGAAGGGGCGGCCCTGACCAGATTTGTTCCCGCGGCAACAAGTGCAGCGAGGCAGAACATCAGGAATTTAAGCAAAACATTACTATGTGGCAAAACCACAAAGTGCGAGAAGCATAATGTAACTCAAAAACTTTGTATTTTATTGAAGTTTATGAGAGGAAACAATTACGCTAAAAGGTAGCGAAAAGGCATAGCTTTAAGCAAACACGTAACCATGTGGCAAGACCACAGAGTACGGGAGACATAATGTAACTCAAAAACTTTGTTTTTTATTGAAGTTTATGAGAGGAAGCAATTACGCTGAAAGGTAGCGAAAAGGCAAGGTTTTAAGCACACCAAAAACAACATACATAAATTTAATGTATTACCCAAGCCAAAGAGAGAATTCAAAACGCAGAACACGAAATTACGTGGCCACGTGTTGAATGGCCAAAATGGCGGGAAAGAAAACAAAATGGGGGGAACAACATGGCATGAAAAACAATAAGCTTTAATTTCCACAAGGGATACAAAGTACGTCCGTCCGTGGAGGTGACAAAGCAGTTATGTGTTTTGGTGTGACGTCATGACTTCCGGGTCATGTGCCGACTGTGAGAGGGCGCTGCCTCCTGAGCTGGTTGGGACAACTTTCTTCAGCAGCTGGATCTCACACAGTTCGTCTCTCTGTCAAAAGACAGCAGTAGATGCAATACGGAGTAATGCAGAATAAGTTAAAAAATTCCCTAAATAGCAAAAGGCACCAGTTGACAACCTGGTCTTTGTGTGGCACAGTTTCAAGAATACCTACTAGTTTTAGAGATATGGTCCCGAAAAACACACTACCATGAACAGTCAAAGTCAAACTTGTTGCCATTGAAGCAGGAAACATTTTCTTATTAAATTCCTAAATAGCAACAGACTTCAACCCCTGAGTAATACATGTACCAAGTTTGGTAGAAAAATGTCGAATATTTTTTCAGTTCTGCTCTGGAAACAAAACTTACCTCTGTTTCAGCTGTCTAACTTGTTTCCATTGGGACAGGGAAAAATCAAACTTTGAAAAGTTCGTAAGAGCAAAAGGCACCACTTCCCCCTGGTTAATACATGTACAAGGTTTGGATGAAAATTCTTTCACGGTTTTCAAGTTGTGCTCTGGAAACAAAATCCACCACCCCTTTTTGAGACAAAGTCCTAATTGTTTGGAAATGGAAATCGAGAATACTAAAAATGAAAATAGCAAAAGCCACCACATCAGGATCTGTTTGCTATATCTGCAAAACATTGCTTTAATTTCGAGTTGTGCTCTGGAAACGAATTCCTTTTGAGACTAAGTCCAAATTGTTTCCATGGAAATCAAGAAAAAATAAATGCAAAAAATACTCAAAGAGCAAAAGGCACACCTTCAGGATCTGTTTGCTATATCTGCCAACTTTTGTTAATAGTCATGGAACGGTTTTGGGTTGTGCTTCAGAAACAAAATCAACCCCCTTATGAGACAAAGTACAAATTGTTTCCATGGAAATCAAGACGAGACGATGAGCCCCCAATGATTATTATTTTGACATGATTGATATTTGAATATTTGTAGCTGTAAATTATTACATCGTATAACTTCTCCACAATGATCCCGACTTCAACATAATTCAGTGAGCATATATATAATTTTCAAAATATTGTCCAATTACAAACCTGCAGAAAGGTACAGTTCTTCAGTTGCTGCCAGTTTCCGGTGGCGAGCTGATCGTGAGGGAGGAGTGTACTGGGAAACCTGGAGAGAGTCTCCTTGTATCTGGTGACTCCTCTGAAGCACAGCTTCCACATCTGAAAAAAACCATACAAGGGACACCATATTACCTTTGTCAGTGGAGTTTCTCAGGCTGTAATCACTGCGAGCGTTAACTTGGTCCGGGATAAGGTTGCAGGGATAAAGGGTTCCTAAATTGTTTGCCATTTTGTAGAATAATGATGAAGGTTGATTTTTGCACCATAGTGACAATGGTTTTAGATCTGTTGCCACAAGACATTTTCAAAATAAATCCTAACTTCATGACAAAGGAGGATTGGACACATGGAACAGCTTGAATGGAATTCTTTCATGGTTGGCAGAGAAATTAAAGGTAACACCTATCTTCTAAGAGTGAGTGAGTATGGTTTTACGCCACTTTTAGCAATATTCCAGCAATATCATGGCAGGGGACACCAGAAATGGGCTTCACACATTGTACCCTTGTCAGGAATCCAACCCGGGTCTTCAGCGTGATGAACGAACGCTTTAACCACTAGGTTACTCGGACGCCCCTTATCTTCTAAGAAACTACAGATAGTGCTGTACATTGTCGAATGAACCACCCCTCTCGATCAGAGCTGTATCTCTTAACAGATGAGAGCTCATGTAGGTGAACTCACACCCATAATACAAATTCATGTTTATCATGTCAAGTTGAGCTAAAATAGATCGATCATACCAACCGTCAGGGTCCTCAAATGTGACAAGGACCACATCCTCATCTATTCTCTCAATGGATTTCACATCTCCTCCTCCACTCTTCTTCTCGCTCTCAAAGTACATCTCCAGGAATTCATCAGACATATCTTTGCATCCTGTCACTACTATTGTGTCTGGTGAGACAACAGGTGGTGGCGTTGGTGGCCTGGGTTTGTACCGGGAGACGTCAACATCCTTTCTTTCTATTTTGTGAGATCCCTTCTCTAACACTCTCTTGACATCTTGAAACAAAGCAGACACACAGATCTTCACAATGGATAAGTACCCAAGTGCTTCTTTAGCTAGATTTTGGATCTTTTGCTGCATCATCATGTCAACAGGTGTCACAAAGATGCGTTGATTGTCAACAGGAATTACTATCTGAATAATGGCGCTAAACAAAATGCCTATAAATTGAACCTGTGTTGAATTTTTACTAGAGGCTCAATGGTCTACACTTATGGACAGACACAAAGAGCGTTCATTACATCATGTACATGAGATGCAATTGATAATCTTTACATAGACAAATACACTTTAAACAACAGTGCCGCTCCAACTGGAATGACCTCAAGGTTAACACAGATGCTTGGGCCATTGGTTTGAGTGGAAAGTGAAAAAGTGTTGTTTGCGCGAACTGATTGTTATACCACATATTGACGTATATCGCTGCATACAAGGGTATGATTATCATGGAGCTCAAGAAACTGTCTGTGCTCTAAAATAGATGGAGGATGAGTGACAGTTCTTTTGTTTTGAAATATACTTGTAACCAAGTATTTATTTAAGGGAAAAATATTTATGCTTATCCCGACTCATACTAATTGCTTATCTCTTCTCATTACGAAAAAGGTTGTGAAAACTCCTGTGCTGTGTTCCCCAAAACAGAATTTGTTTTTGTCCGAATGCTGCGCAGCCAACCCATAAGCACATGACCAAGCTGGTACCCTCATCACTCTCTCATTTTGTGGGGATGGCTGCATGGTCACTATTATATATAGCGAATGAGTCAGTCATAGCGAAGTATAAATGATATTTTCACCCTATAAAATACATATTTGACCTTATCCTGACTGATACTAATGGTTTGAATCTCATGGTTGTGGTGGGATCCTCCAGATGCGTGATTCAGGTCTTGATCTGTTCATTTAACCCCATGGGAACGTGGTTCTACTTAATCCTCTTCGACATCAATCTGTACTGGGGCGCCACCTCTGTACTTGTGAGAGTACAAGTAAATCAAGAGATTTCGTGGATTTTGTAAGTGCGCATAGAATTATATTCCAGCTTGCTTAGAATGATTCTCGTGTTAAGAAAAGGTCACAATCTTGTCACAATCTTGACACAATCGTTTAACACTCATGTTCTGAATAACATAGTAAAACAGGGGAGATGGGCTCTCGGTCATTGGTACTGGGACAGTAACCTGACGTCAAAAAGTCGGCGTGAACGTGGGTGAGTGTAGTAGGTTCATCTCCAAGTAGGCATTGTCCGTTGTTGTGCAACTACTAATGGTTAAAATAGATGAATGTTGTCGGGACAGAGCAGCTGCCAAGAAGCACTAACGTGGAAGCGATAGCTCCGACCTCATGCAGATTGGAAGCCGAGGAAGGGTCTAGACTGGCATGTCTTTAGGCTCGGAGGATGACTGCTCTCATCCAGAAGGAGATAAAAGTTCTAGAAACTTCTGCTGTAGCATTACTTGTGAACGGGATAAAAAGTTGCCTTAAAGGGGCACTGATCTAACGCAATTCCCCGGACTGGTTGTTGCCTTTGTTATTGTTTTTTTCCCCGTGAGTACCCGGATGATACGCAACGCAACTGAGCGTGACCAGAGACTGGGCTACCGTCTGCAAGGACAGTTAAATAAACTTGGAGGCTGGAGGCAATATTTGTTTTACGCATTTTGGCATAAACACTGATTGGTTAACTGTGATCTATAAAGATTTTGACAAAGGGCGCATGTTAATTAATTTCTTCAGCCTAAACAAACAGACAAAAAGAACGGCGGAGCTCATCGGATGTCGTCATTTGGAAATACCCCAGATGGTTATAGTTTAATACTAAAAAAAGTATTCATGCAGTGAAAGCATTTTCGGATTTCGGATTGGGTCGATAATACGATTACTACTCCCTTGTTGTCATCCACGTTTTCTCGTATAACCCTACACTTGTGTATTTGTCGTCATTCACTTGATGCTCAGTTAATGAATTTATTACAGGTACAATTAGTGGTAGCACCACTTAGATTACCTGACAAAGGTTCCCATTTGGCAATTATTGTGTCTGGTGTAATTATTCAATCTAAATCCAGGTTTGAAGTGAGGTGAAATGTGTGTTATGTAATATGCACGTGGCAGCCCAGCAAGAGATGAATGATCAGTTGATTTACTTTTTTTTGTAAATCAACGGATCGTTCCTAGTCCTCAAAGGATTAACAGAAAATACGTTGATTGATTAATCACTGTTATCTTGCACAGTGGATATGTCAAAAGTGAGTGTTTACATGTCTAGGTTTACTAAAACTGAAAGGAATACACTCATGTCATGGCGTGAAGTGCCGATTGTTATCTATCACTCAATGGATTTTTTAGGAACCGTGGACGTTATGAAAATAGTTGTCACGTGGGCTTTCTCAGCCGACCCTTGAGACTTGACACCTATGTGAAACACCTGAAACAATCCAAGTGATCAGTTGAGAAACGAACACGGGTTATAATATCCCGAAACGATATATATCTTTTAAAATATTTGATTGTTACAGAGACACGTGACATCGAATAAGTTTCTTTGTACAGCTGCAGACGAGTGGGATATTGTTCCTTTATGTGGATATTCACGGATACATTCCTCGAACAAGGAAGCTGCCTAAAATTTATACACATAAATTTGGTAGGTTGTAATTATGGTATTTGCATTTTGTTTTCCTTCATTTGAACCTATAATTCGTTCTTGTTTCTCTACGTCTTGGTTGGGAAATTCTTCAATGCGCGACAGGTCTTTTCCTTTGTAAGCGTGTATATATTACCGTCAATTTGTAAAATGTGATTCTCTCAGGCAATTTATAAAATGTGTAAATATTTCAGTCATTTTGACTAAAAAATCTGCCCAGATTGATTAAGACTATCAAAAGGGCCTCAAAACATCACAACAGATTATTATGTAGGATTAGAAGCCAAACAACATAGAAATGTACTTTTCAACGTAACATTTTCAGTCTCTTGGTGATGACATTAAACATCAAAATGTTTGGAATTCGTTATCATAATAAAAGAGATGGAAATATTTTTCAGTCAATTTGTAAAATAACTGAATGTTTAGACGTTTAATAAATATGTTACACATTTTGACAGTAAAATAATATGCACACTATAAAAAAGCAATGCTCAGGTGAAATATTTACTTTGTGTTGCAAGTCAAAATAGTGTAAACGAAAATCGCAAAATTACCAAGCAAGTGACTTATCAAAACTTCGTCACCATTACCGATGCTACCCACAAAGATACCTACATTTCCTTATTATCTCGAAAACTGTATTTCATTTTGTTGATCAATGTGACCATACGCCCTTATTACTACCGGTATCCATAAAAGTGACTAATGCGCTTACGAATGGCGCAGCAGAGGTCCCGAACTAGTCTAGATTTCTGCTATACATCCGGGTACTCACTGGGAAAAAACAATAACAAAGGCAACAACCAGTCCCGGGGAATTGCGTTAGATCAGTGCCCCTTTAACCTTTGACCTAAGAAATTTGTCCTTCGTCAATGAATACGTAAGGCTCTGACCGGACATGTTGATAAATCTTCCATATCTTTGGAGCCAAGTATAGATGATAAAAGTGAAATGTGAAACTGTCCATCTGGCTGACCTGGCAGTTGATTCTTGGCAATAAAATCACATTGGAGACCAAGATAGGCTTATGCATTGTCCAGAGGATTTCTTGTCCTTATAGCCTTCTGTATTCCGGAGAACCACCGCTTGAAATTGGTCACTTGAATAAACTGTTTAAACATAGAGTTCATAGTCTGGACAAATTTAATCATCATCTGGTCCTTGGAATCATTGTTGACCCCTCAGATCTGACCGTTGTAGATAGTAGGGAAATCCCAAGTTTGGCATCAGAGAGGCTTTGTGTAGAAGGCTGACCAGTTAAAGTTGGAGACCGACCCTTGACTTTGTGACAGTGTAAGTCCGGCTGAAGCAGAACTTATTTGTTCGGAAATGGATTCCTGAAACTTCTGCTGGCTGACTTTAGCTGACAATAGCATATGTTCACTGTCGGATTCTGAGTTCTTGAGGGGAAACATCATCACTTCATTAATAGATCGAGACATGGTCAATCCCAGAATTGTGCGAGCTTCTTGTCCTTGATTCTGTAGGTTTTACTCTTCAAGCCTGATAATAAGTTGTAGTATTCGTCCAAGGATCAAGGAAGAAATCGTGACCTTACTTATTTTTCTTATTAGGTGTGATAATGGTAGCCCCTTCTACTGAGGAGAGTGACCGAGAAGAATCACATCTTTTATGGTCCGGCTTCTCCCTCTGTACTACATACAAGTACGCTGCAAAGTCTTCTTCACCCAGGGAGAAGCAGAAACTACAACGGGTCTCAGTAGTACATGGTTAAGGGATGCATCTGGAACTGATGGGGTGTTGATTACAAATTGTAAACCTATAGAAAGAGTGTTCTGTGTAGTGATTGGCTAATTTGGGTCACATGACCAAATGTCAGAGGGTGAAAATATGATTTGAATTCCCTGAAGCAAGCGACCGAATCACTGTGTAGGAATACATAATTACTCAGCATTTTTTGCATACTAATTAACAATGGACGCAAATTGAAATACAAAATTCATAACAAATATTTTGATTTTCTCTATTCATGGGAATTATTGGGGTTTAAAATTTTTAATTAAAAAAAATTACAATGAAATAATTACCAAAATCACAATCACCATAGCGACTAACGCGCTCCTGGCGAATCCTGAGATATCACTGTTCTGTATATCAAACGGCATAAAAAAATGCAAGACCAAGCCAATTCTCCAAGAAATGTGTGCATATAATTTAACGAAAAAAAATATCGATTTTGGTTAAGTTATATCGTCAGTTTTAGTTATAAAATAAAATGAAATGGCTATTCATGGACAGTATTTATATTCACTTATAATATTGACTATTACACTCCCTAGAAATACATACAAGATGAAATGTAAATGTACCTGTCACATGTACACTTGTTCAAATTTAAGAAATATCGTATAGGACACTATAAACTTATCAACTTCATATGTGAACATTGTTCAAACAAACAGGAGATTATCAAACGTTCATATATGTTGTGGCCTATATCTACATATGATATCATATTGAACATTGATTAATATCCAAAGTGAAATTAATTGTGTGAAAAAAATGTACAAAAGATATGCAAGATCTACATCATGAAACAGTAAAAAGCAGTTAACAATGATCGTGTGTACTTTCATTCAAGGACCTTCACCTCAGAGAAATTACCAAATATGTACAACAAATATGTTGAAGTTTGACATCATTACCGGTGACCGAATTTTACAAAATGGCGTGTTGACTGTCAACAGTGCGCGGGATTTTACGAGGGGACTTTCGTTGATTCAGGGTTCGTATGAACGCTTTCGGGTCTCGAGATGAATTTCCAAGATGCAAATACTCAATAAAATCCCGGAAATAGACACACACATAGTATTTATCTTCTAATTGAAACACGCAAGCACCAGATATCATAAAATCTTAACATACAAATAAGGCAAACTTTAAACCCAAAACGTAGAAAAGTTTAAGCCAAAGTAGCAAAATAAAGTTCTAGTATGATGAAGAAAAGTTTGAAGAATGTAATCCAAGCAAAAGAATTTAAAAAACCTAATAATTTTGATAGGATGGCTTGGATTAAGAGAGCACAGAAATTTAGCCCAAACCACCCAGGCACGAAATAGAGAGAGTGACGAGAGGAATGGCTTGGTCAAGTGCTTCCGGCTGTGGGGTGCGTTCGGACAAGATGTTTTTCTGCTCTTGGGGAACACAGCACAGAAGTTTCCACTACGCTTTTCAAAATGAAATGAGATAAGCAATTAGTATGGATATTAGTCAGGTAAAGGCAAGGTAAAATAATGGTATCTAAAGGGGACTCATTTCGTAATCCATATTTCACAAATGATCACAAAGTGCATTGGGCTGAATGCGCAGTAAAAACTTTAAGTTGATAACACTATCAACCATGTGTGTTGAGCAAGGAAAGACAGTTTCTGCTTCCAACTTTGGCCTGGTCGATCTCAATGAGGCATGATGGCAGGTGTTGATTTGCAATGAGTTCTATGTATTTGGGAATACTGTCGGTTTTGTTTCATGAAAAGGATTTAATTTGTTTAAGAGTAAAAACATCAGTTAATAAGCTAATAAATGTTGTGGCTGTTCTGGATCCTCAGACCCAAGAATTGTTGCATGGTGTGAACTTACCTTCAGGGTCCTCAAATGTAACAAGGACCACATCCTCTTCTGTTCTCTCCATGGATTTCACGTCTCCTCCTCCACTCTTCTTCCTGCTCTCAAAGTACATCTCCAGGAATACATCCGAGATTCCTCCACATCCTGTCACTATAATCGTGTCTGGTGAGACAACAGGTGGTGGAGTTGGTGGCCTGGGTTTGTACAGGGTGACTTCAACATCCATCCCTTGAATCTTGTGAGATCCCTTCTCTAACACTCTCTTGACATCTTCAAGTAAAGGAGACACACATATCTTTACAATAAGTACCCTAGTGCTTCTTTAGATTGATTTTTGCAGCATTCCATACTCTAACAATAGTTTTCATTGTATATAATTCTAAGAATACTACTAGCTAGCGACCAGTTATCACTTCGCATTTCGTCCTAAATAACTGTTCCAATACCTTTTTCCATACATAAACATTTTCCTTGAATAAAGTTTAATAATTTCTGCAAATAAAGTTGAAATGACCCTCGCCTCGATGCAGATTGTCAAACCACCTGACACGGTAAAACAATCAACATCCGTGAGTAGAGAGCCGGAAGTACCGGTAAGCATTTGCATATTGCACTTGTGACCTAACATGTGATAACCGGTGAAGCTGAAATCAATTCCCGCTGTTTTTACAGTTGTATTAACAAGTGTTGGAGACGGTGTGTACATGTGATTGTGGAATAAACACGCTGAATGTGAAGCAAACATAAGCCTAGTTAGTTACAAAATAGTTAATTGGCGATTAAATTACTCACCATTGTCTCTTATATGTAATGACTTCATAAATGAATTTTATTTTACGGGCACCAATTTGGTGTCGTACCGTGTATACACAAAATGGCGACGTGTGCTGGAGTTACACACGTGACCTATCATTGTAGAAAAAAAACAACGCAAGCTAAACATATTTTTATTGCATATATAAGGTTTGTGTGCGCACTTGTGATGTAGGCAGGCAAACAAATAACCTTCTTGTGGATACCCGCCCACGTAGGAATATACCGGAATGAAAACGCCGATAAAGCAGCTAAACTATCCCTCAAAATCCCAGAAATAAGCTTAAACTTACCCATCTCAAAATCAGAAATTAAAAGTGTAAACAAGCAAAAAATCACCAAAAAATGGCATAACCTATATCTAAACTCAAATAGCCAAATCAAAAAAGTGCTCAGCAAACCACTAACCAAACCAAAAATTCTCCATCCATCAAAAAAAAATCGACAGAGTAATCACTAAACTCCAAACAGGACACACCAACCTAAATAACCACCTAAAAAAAATTAAAAAACACACTACAGGTAACTGCCCACACTGCAAACAACCAGAAACCCCAGAACATGCACTCATCCACTGCACACACTACCTAACACATCGAACCGCATTACAAGCCACCCTCAATCTAAACAAGGCTCTCACTCTAGAAGCAATACTAAACCCACAAAATAAACTAGAAAACTTCAAGGCCTTAGGCGTATTCTTAATAAAAACTAATAAAACGCATCTAAAAACACAATAACCTACCAAATCAAAATCAAATAAACAAACAAACATCCACCATACCCAGCTCCCTTAGTTCTCCTCCCCAACCCCATTGGCATCTATTCCAAATCTCAAAATTCCCAAATTCTATATAAGCAACCCCTAAACCCCCCTCTTGGGTTGCACAGACCACTTTCGCCCCTTTCAGAAACACATTAAATGGCCTGGCCGGGCCCGTGTGCGAAATACGCATCAGTCGGAAAGCGCACGTTAAATCTCTAAAGTAAGTAAGTAAGTAAGTACTTGTGATGTGCTTCATTCCAGGTCGCCTTATACACGGAGTATAGGATTTTGGGTTGATTTTGAAGGCATGTACAGGGGGGTCGCCTTATACACAGCGATATACGGTAGATGATGGAGATAACTAGTACAGTTTGTCGATGGGAAATACCAATTTCTACTGTCTTGATTTCCTGTCGTCGCATTATAACGGAAATCTTCTGATTTTTTATTCCATGGACAGAAATATGTGCATTTGTTCCTAGTTTCACACAAACCAAAGTTTTTTGCACAGTTAACTTTGTTCACAGAATATTTCAGAAATAACATGAAAAAAATTGCTATAACTGGTCAATGACCAGTACCTCTATGACATCATAGCTAGAACTTCCTGTTCATGCTGAGAACCACGCTACAAATTTTAATAAATTTTCAACAGACGTCCTCTTCACTGCCAACATAATTATGTTACAGTTGTGAGGGAAATCCTATCCCTAGTAAGAAATGCCTCTGCGCATGTGCAAGGGAGGAACTCCTCACTTCTTTCAACCCATAACCCTCATCAACTAGATGCAGATATTTGGGAGAAAGGCGGGATGGATTAATTCCTGATGTAACAGAGGTAGTATTCTTGAAAATTATACACAATGATAACTATTGAAAGATAATTCTTGCGAGTACCCTACCTCTAATACATCATAGTCAGTATACACCAGAGGGACTGGTGGAATCTGGTATCTAGTATCCCTTAGAAAGTTGGATTTTGTGAACTATGAATACATATAAATAAAAGGACCAATTCACATTGCACGCATTGGGATGCTTATCACATCAGTGTAATCAGGTATGTGTGAAAATATCACCAAAGTATGGCAGAATGAATTTGCAGTGAATCAATTGAGTTGCTAATATAGCCCCAATCCACACTCCAGACTGTCAACCACGTGTGTGGAGGTAGGCTTTACTAATATAGTCTCACTCCACACTCCAGACTGTCAACCAAGTGTGTGGAGGTAGGCTTTACTAATATAGCCTCAGTCCACACTCCAGACTGTCAACCACGTGTGTGTGGAGGCAGGCTTTACTAATATAGCCTCACTCCACACTCCAGACTGTCAACCACATGTGTGTGGAGGCAGGCTTTACTAATATAGCCTCACTCCACACTCCAGACTGTCAACCACGTGTGTGGAGGCAGGCTTTATTAATATAGCCTCACTCCACACTCCAGACTGTCCATAATGTGTGTGGAGGCAGGCTTTACTAATATAGCCTCACACCACACTCCAGACTGTCAACCACGTGTGTGGAGGTAGGCTTTACTAATATAGCCTCACTCCACACTCCAGACCAGGGGTCCGGAAAATTTAAAATCCCAATCGGACATTTGCATTTAGGCCACGCCCCCTTCAAATAGCGTATTTTAGTACGACTTTTCACACACATTACAAGTTTACGTATTCATAATATGATGAATTATGAATTGTTTCAATTTAAATTGTTTAATTCACCGGACAATTAATAACAAATAATATCATTTTAGATTTACATGGAAAACATACGTTTGTTTCTGTTATAATAACGATCTATTAACGTAGTGAACGGTCTAATTAATATTCATGAGTTATATTCATGAGTCTGCTCAAGTGTACGCGTTGTAACATTTGGATCGAGACTATTATCCCATATTTGGTTATCACGTGACCTCACGGGAAAAGTGTTTTTTTAAACTTAAGATTTTTTTAAAAACAAGACAGATAATTTAATCACAAATACTAAAATATCGTTGATAGCAATAGTTATTTGAATACTTTTTTCATCTGTACTTAATTATTGACCATAAAAAAATTGGATATCGATCGTCCGAGAAAGCAAAATGGCGGTCAATCAAGATTCAATATACGACTAGCTACTGAAAAAAATAAAATCTGCAAATCCTCATTGTATGTCAACCAAGTGAAAGCCATTAGCCACGACTTACAAAATGATCGTCCAGACTTTGAGGGTTTTGCAGATCCGCTCGACTGATCTGCATCGGTCGACTGGCTGTCGTCACGCTTTCTCTTCTTGTTTGAGGTTACGTATCGTAGCAGTGTGAGGATAATGAGGTACATCGATGATGCAAGGTATTAATGTACAGTTGTAAACACCTTTCACTCAAATTAACAAGATTTTCTCAGTAATTAATCCTCAATTAATCAGTGTCAACTGAGTTTATTGCCTATTACAGTGATTGACCGATTGGACTATCATGTAGGTACGATGTATTTACAGCAATCAAAACAAACAAAGCTTGTCAGTGTAGTTAATCTTCATTGTGTTGCAACTGCAGACAGAAACTGCTCAGTCCTAACTGTTGATCATGTCCGGTCAAAATTTAAGAATGTCCGGACAATACTTTTTAAAATGTCCGGTAAGCAATATTTTAAAACGGACATTTGAGATTCCCAATCGGACATGTCCGGCGCATATGACGGTTTCCGGACCCCTGCTCCAGACTGTCAACCAAGTGTGTGGAGGTAGGCTTTACTAATATAGCCTCACTCCACACTCCAGACTGTCAACCACGTGTGTGGAGGCAGGCTTTACTAATATAGCCCCACTCTACACTCCAGACAGTCAACCACATGTGTGGAGGCAGGCTTTACTAATATAGTCTCACTCCACACTCCAGACAGTCAACCATGTGTATGGAGGCAGGCTTTACTAATATAGCCCCACTCCACACTCCAGACTGTCAACCACATGTGTGTGGAGGCAGGCTTTACTAATATAGCCTCACTCCACACTCCAGACTGTCAACCATGTGTGTGGAGGCAGGCTTTACTAATATAGCCTCACTCCACGCTCCAGACTGTCAACCACATGTGTGGAGGTAGGCTTTACTAATATAGCCTCACTCCACACTCCAGACTGTCAACCATGTGTGTGGAGGCAGGCTTTACTAATATAGCCTCACTCCACACTCCAGACTGTCAACCACGTGTGTGGAGGCAGGCTTTACTAATATAGCCCCACTCTACACTCCAGACAGTCAACCACATGTGTGGAGGCAGGCTTTACTAATATAGCTTCACTCCACACTCCAGACTGTCAACCACGTGTGTGGAGGCAGGCTTTACTAATATAGCCCCACTCCACACTCCAGACAGTCAACCACATGTGTGGAGGCAGGCTTTACTAATATAGCCCCACTCCACACTCCAGACTGTCAACCACATGTGTGTGGAGGTAGGCTTTACTAATATAGCCTCACTCCACACTCCAGACTGTCAACCATGTGTGTGGAGGCAGGCTTTACTAATATAGCCTCACTCCACGCTCCAGACTGTCAACCATGTGTATGGAGGCAGGCTTTACTAATATAGCCCCACTCCACACTCCAGACTGTCAACCACATGTGTGTGGAGGCAGGCTTTACTAATATAGCCTCACTCCACACTCCAGACTGTCAACCATGTGTGTGGAGGCAGGCTTTACTAATATAGCCTCACTCCACGCTCCAGACTGTCAACCACATGTGTGGAGGTAGGCTTTACTAATATAGCCTCACTCCACACTCCAGACTGTCAACCATGTGTGTGGAGGCAGGCTTTACTAATATAGCCTCACACCACACTCCAGACTGTCAACCACGTGTGTGGAGGTAGGCTTTACTAATATAGCCTCACTCCACACTCCAGACCAGGGGTCCGGAAAATTTAAAATCCCAATCGGACATTTGCATTTAGGCCACGCCCCCTTCAAATAGCGTATTTTAGTACGACTTTTCACACACATTACAAGTTTACGTATTCATAATATGATGAATTATGAATTGTTTCAATTTAAATTGTTTAATTCACCGGACAATTAATAACAAATAATATCATTTTAGATTTACATGGAAAACATACGTTTGTTTCTGTTATAATAACGATCTATTAACGTAGTGAACGATCTAATTAATATTCATGAGTTATATTCATGAGTCTGCTCAAGTGTACGCGTTGTAACATTTGGATCGAGACTATTATCCCACATTTGGTTATCACGTGACCTCACGGGAAAAGTGTTTTTTTAAACTTAAGATTTTTTTAAAAACAAGACAGATAATTTAATCACAAATACTAAAATATCGTTGATAGCAATAGTTATTTGAATACTTTTTTCATCTGTACTTAATTATTGACCATAAAAAAATTGGATATCGATCGTCCGAGAAAGCAAAATGGCGGTCAATCAAGATTCAATATACGACTAGCTACTGAAAAAAATAAAATCTGCAAATCCTCATTGTATGTCAACCAAGTGAAAGCCGTTAGCCACGACTTACAAAATGATCGTCCAGACTTTGAGGGTTTTGCAGATCCGCTCGACTGATCTGCATCGGTCGACTGGCTGTCGTCACGCTTTCTCTTCTTGTTTGAGGTTACGTATCGTAGCAGTGTGAGGATAATGAGGTACATCGATGATGCAAGGTATTAATGTACAGTTGTAAACACCTTTCACTCAAATTAACAAGATTTTCTCAGTAATTAATCCTCAATTAATCAGTGTCAACTCAGTTTATTGCCTATTACAGTGATTGACCGATTGGACTATCATGTAGGTACGATGTATTTACAGCAATCAAAACAAACAAAGCTTGTCAGTGTAGTTAATCTTCATTGTGTTGCAACTGCAGACAGAAACTGCTCAGTCCTAACTGTTGATCATGTCCGGTCAAAATTTAAGAATGTCCGGACAATACTTTTTAAAATGTCCGGTAAGCAATATTTTAAAACGGACATTTGAGATTCCCAATCGGACATGTCCGGCGCATATGACGGTTTCCGGACCCCTGCTCCAGACTGTCAACCAAGTGTGTGGAGGTAGGCTTTACTAATATAGCCTCACTCCACACTCCAGACTGTCAACCACGTGTGTGGAGGCAGGCTTTACTAATATAGCCCCACTCTACACTCCAGACAGTCAACCACATGTGTGGAGGCAGGCTTTACTAATATAGTCTCACTCCACACTCCAGACAGTCAACCATGTGTATGGAGGCAGGCTTTACTAATATAGCCCCACTCCACACTCCAGACTGTCAACCACATGTGTGTGGAGGCAGGCTTTACTAATATAGCCTCACTCCACACTCCAGACTGTCAACCATGTGTGTGGAGGCAGGCTTTACTAATATAGCCTCACTCCACGCTCCAGACTGTCAACCACATGTGTGGAGGTAGGCTTTACTAATATAGCCTCACTCCACACTCCAGACTGTCAACCATGTGTGTGGAGGCAGGCTTTACTAATATAGCCTCACTCCACACTCCAGACTGTCAACCACGTGTGTGGAGGCAGGCTTTACTAATATAGCCCCACTCTACACTCCAGACAGTCAACCACATGTGTGGAGGCAGGCTTTACTAATATAGCTTCACTCCACACTCCAGACTGTCAACCACGTGTGTGGAGGCAGGCTTTACTAATATAGCCCCACTCCACACTCCAGACAGTCAACCACATGTGTGGAGGCAGGCTTTACTAATATAGCCCCACTCCACACTCCAGACTGTCAACCACATGTGTGTGGAGGTAGGCTTTACTAATATAGCCTCACTCCACACTCCAGACTGTCAACCATGTGTGTGGAGGCAGGCTTTACTAATATAGCCTCACTCCACGCTCCAGACTGTCAACCATGTGTATGGAGGCAGGCTTTACTAATATAGCCCCACTCCACACTCCAGACTGTCAACCACATGTGTGTGGAGGCAGGCTTTACTAATATAGCCTCACTCCACACTCCAGACTGTCAACCATGTGTGTGGAGGCAGGCTTTACTAATATAGCCTCACTCCACGCTCCAGACTGTCAACCACATGTGTGGAGGTAGGCTTTACTAATATAGCCTCACTCCACACTCCAGACTGTCAACCATGTGTGTGGAGGCAGGCTTTACTAATATAGCCTCACTCCACACTCCAGACTGTCAACCACGTGTGTGGAGGCAGGCTTTACTAATATAGCCCCACTCTACACTCCAGACAGTCAACCACATGTGTGGAGGCAGGCTTTACTAATATAGCTTCACTCCACACTCCAGACTGTCAACCACGTGTGTGGAGGCAGGCTTTACTAATATAGCCCCGCTCTACACTCCAGACAGTCAACCACATGTGTGGAGGCAGGCTTTACTAATATAGCCCCACTCCACACTCCAGACTGTCAACCACGTGTGTGGAGGCAGGCTTTACTAATATAGCCTCACTCCACACTCCAGACTGTCAACCATGTGTGTGGAGGCAGGCTTTACTAATATAGCCTCACTCCACGCTCCAGACTGTCAACCACATGTGTGGAGGTAGGCTTTACTAATATAGCCCCACTCCACACTCAAGACTGTCAACCACGTGTGTGGAGGTAGGCTTTACTAATATAGCCTCACTCCACACTCCAGACTGTCAACCACATGTGTGGAGGCAGGCTTTACTTCCAACCTTGGTATGGCTGACGAATGGTGTTGATTTCCAATGAGTTCTTTACATTTGGGGGTATTGAGAGGGTGTTTCATGACAAGGATTTAATTTCAGTCTTGATCTTATCCAGAAGTAAAAACATCTGTCAAAAAACAAACAAATGTCTAGGCTGCTTCCAAATTTGGCCTGGTCGATCTTAATGAGGCATGATGGCAGGTGTTGATTTGCAATGAGTTCTATGTATTTGGGTAAACTGTCGGTTTGTTTCATGAAAGGATTTAATTTGTTTAAGAGTAAAAACATCAGTTAATAAGCCAATAAATGTTGTTGCTGTTCTGGATCCTCAGACCCAAGAGTTGTTGCATGGTGTGAACCGTGACGTCTCATAGACTAGGGTTAGAGTAGCTTCCCTTTGACAAAGGGCAGTTACTCTAGCGGACAGACAGATGGATTGCCGCGAAAGGCAATTAAAAACAATTGTTGTTTTGCGTATATGTTGCTTCGCCACTGTATAAGAAACAGATTTCAGTTGGAACTATATTGGCTACTGTCACTGTCCGACTGACACATCACTTACCCTGTGACGTAATAAATATTAATGCGTGCATTCCAGAAAAACTCGCAATGTTTCGGTTATGTATGTGAGTGAGGAAAAGCGATTTTGAAGCACAGAATTAAAGAATGACATTATATGATAAAGAGGTTATCACGCTTGTGTGTTTGGGGATGGTAAATATCCTGTATTAGGAATAAACACTATGTATTTAGCTCGCCAAGGCTCGCTAAATACAATGTTTATTCCTAATGCAGGATATTTACCATCCCCAAACACACTCGCGTGATAACCTCTATTTCTGTTCCGGATCCTCAGACCCAAGAATTGTTGCATGGTGTGAACTTACATTCAGGGTCCTCAAATGTAACAAGGACCACATCCTCCTCTCTTCTCTCCATGGATTTCACGTCTCCTCCTCCACTCTTCTTCTTGCTCTCAAAGTACATCTCCAGGACATCATCCAAGATTCCTCTACAGCCTATCACTATGATCGTGTCTGGTAAGACAAGAGGAACTTCTTCTTCAGGGGGTGGTGTTGGTGGCTTGGGTTTGTACAGGGTGACTTTAACATCCATCCCTTGAATCTTGTGAGATCCCTTCTCTAACACTCTCTTGGCATCTTCAAATAAACATGACAAAGACAAGTTGTTACAGTAAAAATGTCCCCTCCTTGTTAATGAGTGGCATGAAAAACAAAAGTGGATGCCGTCTGTTTCTCATGGTTGCTATCTTATGGATAGACATTATGTGTGTGGTAATGTCACTTTAAATAATCTTACAGTCATATAATTATGCAACACCAATGGACATTATCACATATGTCAAAATGGAAAAGTCATTATTCTTTAAAAGAAACAGTTAGTGGTCAACTCCTCCAGACCCAGTGACACAAGACACAAGGTGTCATACCAATACAGTTTACCTCCTGGGTCTTTAAATGTGACAAGTGCCACATTCTCCTCTCTTCTTTTAACATATTTCACTTCTCCTCCTCCACTCTTCTCCCTTCTTTCAAAATACATCTCTAGGACATGATCAGATATGCCTGCACATCCTGAGACCCTGACAGTGTCTGGTGTTAAAGCAGCAGTATCACATGTTGTGGAGACCTCAGACTGAAGCATCACTGGTGTGAATCGACTCACTTGAATACAGGTGCCTGATATTGTGTGCGTCTCCTTCAACACTCTCTCCACAGCTACAAATCACACATCAATATTAAACCATTACTAATTTGCATTTATAATTTGCGTCTGTTTTGTCATTTTCTTGGTTGATGGCTAGCAGACACATGTGTAACAGGGACTTAAATATCCTCAAACGGACTCTTTTTCTGTTCTCTCCTCACAAAAGTCACAATAAAAAAAGGGCTCATTTATTGTAGCATCCCAGATGCTGATAAAAGTTTCCAAAAGAGTTGCAGCAAATCTGTATGCATTAAATGAGGAAATATTGAACAGTTATCATTCTACATTCTGAAACAGATCGATTATCTATGATGTCTGCATCAAGTATACAAACACATGTGTGTTTTGTTTGGGTCACATATCTACAGAATATAAAACATCAAGAATCATATAATTAAACTGAACAAAAACAGTTAAGGATCATGAATACCTTTTTTTGAGAAAACTGAGCACATAATTTCATAAAAATATCCTCAAGAATCCTCACGATCCCTAACTTTTATTGTTTAGTACATTTGTCCCAATAAGCATGAAACAAGACAAGTTAGGTTTACTGCTCTGTCCTGTTCTCGTACTGCTGAAACCAAGGCCTACATGGGGTACATGCCAGTCCCTTGTATCTATACCCTACCATCTGGACGTGCAAACTCCACCACGGCTGTTCCATCTTCTCTGTTAATCACATTGACAACAGGCCCCCCTCCCGATCTGCGGCGGTTCTCGAAGTACAGACTGATGCTGTCATTGCTGAGGGAGGCAGGTAGTCCTTTCACTTCAATTTTGTAACATGGAGTGATTTCTGGAAATATACAAAGGCACTTGTGTAGCACAATATGGTTTAGAATAGCCTCACGACCTTACAAATATCTTTATCAAACCTCCACGTCAGAATGATGAGATCTGATTGGTCCACATGATCATGATAAAATACTGTGTAAAGTGCCTTGGAGGGTAATGAATTTCTCAGCAGGGGAATAAATCTCTTATACCCCACCACGAGCACTACAGGCTGCATGTGTATTTCTGAGAGACAGAATAAAACCTTTACACCCCACTTCAAATCGAAAAGCTGCATGCTTTTTCCGAGCCAATGGATGTCAAGTGACATAGCGCAAGCTAACCTCAGCTTTATCGAGCAGCTGTTCTCCGGCTCGTGGTACAAACTCTAACGCGGGACACATAAAACCCCATGTACCCCTTGTGATCCTGCTACAACTTATAATCTATATTCATCTTTGATCTCTTATGTTGTTGAAAGCAGGGCCACGACCTTGACCTTTAATCTTTGGCAATATATATAGTTAAAATATTTCCAAGTGCATTTTTATGACAATATTTTCTGAGTGAAACAATTTACAAGTCAATTGTGAATGACCTTCAAAGTGATCTTGACATTTGACATAACCATGAGATATGACAGGTGTGTTTAGTTATCTACTTTCAATCTTCATCTTCAGTGATTGGAAAATGTTTTTGACTTTTTATGAATTAAATGAAAACCTCTCAAAACTTGAGTCATGTTTCCTATGTGAGATCAAGTGACATGGACTTCATACTGAGGTCACTCAAAAGTCTTCACAATTAAGACGAATATTCATGCATCTTAAATCTTCAAATGCTAATCACAGATTTTCAAGTTATTGTGTATCCCAGTATTTCTGATTTTCTGTTTACAAACAAATCGATGGAGTTATATAGTAGGTTCATAAGGTATGTTGGTTGGTTTGTTGTTTAATGCCGCACTCAGCAATATTACAGCTATATGATGGCATTCTTTAAAATAATAGAGTCTGAACCAGACAATCCAGTGATTGACATCATGAGCATCGATCCACGCAACTGAGATCCATGACATGCATCAACATAGTCAGCGAGCCTGACCACCCGATCCTGTTAGTCGCCTCTTACAACAAGCATAGTCGCCTTTTACAGCAAGCATGGGTTGCTGAAGACCTATTCTACCCCGGATCTTCACAGGTAAGGTATGAAGTCACCAACAACTGTCATAAGCGTGTGGTTGAAAAAAACCAATTATGCCAATCATGGTAACTTGAGGTCAAATTTGATCAAACACCAAGCAGCCTCCATAGTGTATTTCTAATGGAATTCACAATGTGGCAATAGTATGGAATGAGTCTTAGTTAGTTATAATAATTGATTAGAGATCACATAATGAAGGATGAAGTTTAGCCTCTATAATTATGACACTTCAATGACTAACAGGAACTTTATGTCTCATCAGACATGTCAGAAGAGAAATATCAGATAAACCTAGCATGCCAATAGGACCAGCACTACATACCAGCATTATTCTCAATTACACTGAATACAGAATGTAATATTCTACAACCTTCAATCATCTACCCTGGAATCCCCACACAGATGACTATAGATTCTACCTGTTGTGTCAGAGCCTTCAGTTGACATACCCTGATCTGCCTTCCTTGCTTTTCCAGGTGTTTCCTCCAGTTTCAGCCCTACTACCTACCCTGCTCCAGTTCCAGCCCTACAACCTACCCTGCTCCAGTTGCAGTCCTACAACCTACCCTGCTCCAGTTGCAGTCCTACTACCTACCCTGCTCTGGTTCAAGCCCTACTACCTACCCTGCTCCAGTTCCAGCCCTACTACCTACCCTGCTCCAGTTCCAGCCCTACTACCTACCCTGCTCCAGTTCCAGCCCTACTACCTACCCTGCTCCAGCCCTACTACCTACCCTGCTCCAGTTGCAGTCCTACTACCTACCCTGCTCCAGTTCCAGTCCTACTACCTACCCTGCTCCAGCCCTACTACCTACCCTGCTCCAGTTCCAGCCCTACTACCTACCCTGCTCCAGTTCCAGCCCTACTAACTACCCTGCTCCAGTTCCAGCCCTACTACCTACCCTGCTCCAGTTCCAGCCCTACTACCAACCCTGCTCCAGTTCCAGTCCTACTACCTACCCTGCTCCAGCCCTACTACCTACCCTGCTCCAGTTCCAGCCCTACTACCTACCCTGCTCCAGTTCCAGCCCTACTAACTACCCTGCTCCAGTTCCAGCCCTACTACCTACCCTGCTCCAGTTCCAGCCCTACTACCAACCCTGCTCCAGTTCCAGCCCTACTACCTACCCTGCTCCAGTTCCAGTCCTACTACCTACCCTGCTCCAGCCCTACTACCTACACTGCCCCAGTTCCAGCCCTACTACCTACACTGCCCCAGTTCCAGCCCTACTACCTACACTGCCCCAGTTCCAGCCCTACTACCTTCCCTGCTCCAGCCCTACTACCTACCCTGCTCCAGCCCTACTACCTACACTGCCCCAGTTCCAGCCCTACTACCTACACTGCCCCAGTTCCAGCCCTACTACCTACCCTGCTCCAGATCCAGCCCTACTACCTACCCTGCTCCAGTTCCAGTCCTACTACCTACCCTGCTCCAGTCCTACTACCTACCCTGCCCCAGATCCAGCCCTACTACCTACCCTGCTCCAGTTCCAGCCCTACTACCTACACTGCCCCAGTTCCAGCCCTACTACCTACCCTGCTCCAGTCCTACTACCTACCCTGCTCCAGACCTACTACCTACCCTGCTCCAGATCCAGCCCTACTACCTACCCTGCTCCAGTTCCAGACCTACTACCTACCCTGCTCCAGTTCCAGCCCTACTACCTACCCTGCTCCAGTTCCAGTCCTACTACCTACCCTGCTCCAGTCCTACTACCTACCCTGCTCCAGACCTACTACCTACCCTGCTCCAGATCCAGCCCTACTACCTACCCTGCTCCAGTTCCAGACCTACTACCTACCCTGCTCCAGTTCCAGCCCTACTACCTACCCTGCTCCAGTTCCAGTCCTACTACCTACCCTGTTCCAGCCCTACTACCTACCCTGCTCCAGTTCCAGCCCTACTACCTACCCTGCTCCAGTTTCAGCCCTACTACCTACCCTGCTCCAGTTCCAGCCCTACAACCTACCCTGCTCCAGTTGCAGTCCTACTACCTACCCTGTTCCAGTTCCAGCCCTATTACCTACCCTGCTACAGTCTAGACCTACTACCTACCCTGCTCCAGCCCTACTACCTACCCTGCTCCAGTTCCAGTCCTACTACCTACCCTGCTCCAGTCCTACTACCTACCCTGCTCCAGACCTACTACCTACCCTGCTCCAGATCCAGCCCTACTACCTACCCTGCTCCAGTTCCAGCCCTACAACCTACCCTGCTCCAGTTGCAGTCCTACTACCTACCCTGTTCCAGTTCCAGCCCTATTACCTACCCTGCTACAGTCTAGACCTACTACCTACCCTGTTCCAGCCCTACTACCTACCCTGCTCCAGTTCCAGTCCTACTACCTACCCTGCTCCAGTCCTACTACCTACCCTGCTCCAGACCTACTACCTACCCTGCTCCAGTTCAAGCCCTACTACCTACCCTGCTCCAGATCCAGCCCTACTACCTACCCTGCTCCAGTTCCAGCCCTACTACCTACCCTGCTCCAGTTCCAGTCCTACTACCTACCCTGTTCCAGCCCTACTACCTACCCTGCTCCAGTTCCAGCCCTACTACCTACCCTGCTCCAGTTCCAGCCCTACTACCTACCCTGCTCCAGTTCCAGCCCTACTACCTACCCTGCTCCAGTTCCAGCCCTACTACCTACCCTGCTCCAGTTCCAGCCCTACTACCTACCCTGCTCCAGTTCCAGCCCTACTACCTACCCTGCTCCAGTTCCAGCCCTACTACCTACCCTGCTCCAGTTGCAGTCCTACTACCTACCCTGCTCCAGTTGCAGTCCTACTACCTACCCTGTTCCAGTTCCAGCCCTACTACCTACCCTGTTCCAGTTCCAGCCCTACTACCTACCCTGTTCCAGTTCCAGCCCTACTACCTACCCTGCTCCAGACCTACTACCTACCCTGCTACAGTCTAGACCTACTACCTACCCTGCTCCAGCCCTACTACCTACCCTGCTCCAGTTCCAGCCCTACTACCTACCAAGCTCCAGTTCCAGCCCTACTACCTACCCTGCTCCAGTTCCAGCCCTACTACCTACCCTGCTCCAGTTCCAGCCCTACTACCTACCAAGCTCCAGTTTCAGCCCTACTACCTACCCTGCTCCAGTTCCAGCCCTACAACCTACCCTGCTCCAGTTGCAGTCCTACTACCTACCCTGTTCCAGTTCCAGCCCTATTACCTACCCTGCTACAGTCTAGACCTACTACCTACCCTGCTCCAGCCCTACTACCAACCCTGCTCCAGATCCAGCCCTACAACATACCCTGCTCCAGTTCCAGCCCTATTACCTAACCGGCTCCAGTTCCAGCCCTACTACCTACCCTGCTCCAGTTCCAGCCCTACTACCTACCCTGCTCCAGTTCCAGCCCTACTACCTACCAAGCTCCAGTTCCAGCCCTACTACCTACCCTGCTCCAGTTCCAGCCCTACTACCTACACTGCTCCAGTTCCAGCCCTACTACCTACACTGCTCCAGTTCCAGCCCTACTACCAACCCTGCTCCAGTTCCAGCCCTACTACCTACCCTGCTCCAGTTCCAGCCCTACTACCTACCCTGCTCCAGTTCCAGCCCTACTACCTACCCTGCTCAAGTTCCAGCCCTACTACCTACCCTGCTCCAGTTCCAGCCCTACTACCTACCCTGCTCAAGTTCCAGCCCTACTACCTACCCTGCTCCAGTTCAAGCCCTACTACCTACACTACTCCAGTTCCAGCCCTACTACCTACACTGCATCAGTTCCAGCCCTACTACCTACCCTGCTCCAGTTGCATACCTACAACCTACCCTGCTCCAGCCCTACTACCTACCCTGCTCCAGTTGCATACCTACAACCTACCCTGCTCCAGCCCTACTACCTACCCTGCTCCAGTTCCAGCCCTACTACCTACCAAGCTCCAGTTCCAGCCCTACTACCTACCCTGCTCCAGTTCCAGCCCTACTACCTACCCTGCTCCAGTTCCAGCCCTACTACCTACCAAGCTCCAGTTTCAGCCCTACTACCTACCCTGCTCCAGTTCCAGCCCTACAACCTACCCTGCTCCAGTTGCAGTCCTACTACCTACCCTGTTCCAGTTCCAGCCCTATTACCTACCCTGCTACAGTCTAGACCTACTACCTACCCTGCTCCAGCCCTACTACCAACCCTGCTCCAGATCCAGCCCTACAACATACCCTGCTCCAGTTCCAGCCCTATTACCTAACCGGCTCCAGTTCCAGCCCTACTACCTTCCCTGCTCCAGTTCCAGCCCTACTACCTACCCTGCTCCAGTTCCAGCCCTACTACCTACCCTGCTCCAGTTCCAGCCCTACTACCTACCAAGCTCCAGTTTCAGCCCTACTACCTACCCTGCTCCAGTTCCAGCCCTACAACCTACCCTGCTCCAGTTGCAGTCCTACTACCTACCCTGTTCCAGTTCCAGCCCTATTACCTACCCTGCTACAGTCTAGACCTACTACCTACCCTGCTCCAGCCCTACTACCTACCCTGCTCCAGACCTACTACCTACCCTGCTACAGTCTAGACCTACTACCTACCCTGCTCCAGCCCTACTACCTACCCTGCTCCAGTTCCAGCCCTACTACCTACCAAGCTCCAGTTCCAGCCCTACTACCTACCCTGCTCCAGTTCCAGCCCTACTACCTACCCTGCTCCAGTTCCAGCCCTACTACCTACCAAGCTCCAGTTTCAGCCCTACTACCTACCCTGCTCCAGTTCCAGCCCTACAACCTACCCTGCTCCAGTTGCAGTCCTACTACCTACCCTGTTCCAGTTCCAGCCCTATTACCTACCCTGCTACAGTCTAGACCTACTACCTACCCTGCTCCAGCCCTACTACCAACCCTGCTCCAGATCCAGCCCTACAACATACCCTGCTCCAGTTCCAGCCCTATTACCTAACCGGCTCCAGTTCCAGCCCTACTACCTACCCTGCTCCAGTTCCAGCCCTACTACCTACCCTGCTCCAGTTCCAGCCCTACTACCTACCAAGCTCCAGTTCCAGCCCTACTACCTACCCTGCTCCAGTTCCAGCCCTACTACCTACACTGCTCCAGTTCCAGCCCTACTACCTACACTGCTCCAGTTCCAGCCCTACTACCAACCCTGCTCCAGTTCCAGCCCTACTACCTACCCTGCTCCAGTTCCAGCCCTACTACCTACCCTGCTCCAGTTCCAGCCCTACTACCTACCCTGCTCAAGTTCCAGCCCTACTACCTACCCTGCTCCAGTTCCAGCCCTACTACCTACCCTGCTCAAGTACCAGCCCTACTACCTACCCTGCTCCAGTTCAAGCCCTACTACCTACACTACTCCAGTTCCAGCCCTACTACCTACACTGCATCAGTTCCAGCCCTACTACCTACCCTGCTCCAGTTGCATACCTACAACCTACCCTGCTCCAGCCCTACTACCTACCCTGCTCCAGTTGCATACCTACAACCTACCCTGCTCCAGCCCTACTACCTACCCTGCTCCAGTTCCAGCCCTACTACCTACCAAGCTCCAGTTCCAGCCCTACTACCTACCCTGCTCCAGTTCCAGCCCTACTACCTACCCTGCTCCAGTTCCAGCCCTACTACCTACCAAGCTCCAGTTTCAGCCCTACTACCTACCCTGCTCCAGTTCCAGCCCTACAACCTACCCTGCTCCAGTTGCAGTCCTACTACCTACCCTGTTCCAGTTCCAGCCCTATTACCTACCCTGCTACAGTCTAGACCTACTACCTACCCTGCTCCAGCCCTACTACCAACCCTGCTCCAGATCCAGCCCTACAACATACCCTGCTCCAGTTCCAGCCCTATTACCTAACCGGCTCCAGTTCCAGCCCTACTACCTTCCCTGCTCCAGTTCCAGCCCTACTACCTACCCTGCTCCAGTTCCAGCCCTACTACCTACCAAGCTCCAGTTCCAGCCCTACTACCTACCCTGCTCCAGTTCCAGCCCTACTACCTACACTGCTCCAGTTCCAGCCCTACTACCTACACTGCTCCAGTTCCAGCCCTACTACCAACCCTGCTCCAGTTCCAGCCCTACTACCTACCCTGCTCCAGTTCCAGCCCTACTACCTACCCTGCTCCAGTTCCAGCCCTACTACCTACCCTGCTCAAGTTCCAGCCCTACTACCTACCCTGCTCCAGTTCCAGCCCTACTACCTACCCTGCTCAAGTTCCAGCCCTACTACCTACCCTGCTCCAGTTCAAGCCCTACTACCTACACTACTCCAGTTCCAGCCCTACTACCAACCCTGCTCCAGTTCCAGCCCTACTACCTACCCTGCTCAAGTTCCAGCCCTACTACCTACCCTGCTCCAGTTCAAGCCCTACTACCTACACTACTCCAGTTCCAGCCCTACTACCTACACTGCATCAGTTCCAGCCCTACTACCTACCCTGCTCCAGTTGCATACCTACAACCTACCCTGCTCCAGCCCTACTACCTACCCTGCTCCAGTTTCAGCCCTACAACCTACCCTGCTCCAGCCCTACTACCTACCCTGCTCCAGTTCCAGCCCTACTACCTACACTGCTCCAGTTCCAGCCCTACTACCTACCCTGCTCCAGTTGCAGCCCTACAACCTACCCTGCTCCAGCCCTACTAACTACCCTGCTCCAGTTCCAGCCCTACTACCTACACTGCTCCAGTTCCAGCCCTACTACCTACCCTGCTCCAGTTTCAGCCCTACTACCTACCCTGCTCCAGTTGCAGCCCTACAACCTACCCTGCTCCAGCCCTACTACCTACCCTGCTCCAGTTCCAGCCCTACTACCTACACTGCTCCAGTTCCAGCCCTACTACCTACCCTGCTCCAGTTCCAGCCCTACTACCTACCCTGCTCGTGCCCTACTACCTACCCTGCTCCAGCTGCAGCCCTACTACCCACCCTGCTTCAGTTCCAGCCCTACTACCTACCCTGCTCCAGTTCCAGCCCTACTACCTACCCAGCTCCAGTTTCAGCCCTACTACCTACCCTGCTTCAGTTCCGGCCCTACTACCTACCCTGCTCCAGCCCTACTACCTACCCTGCTCTACTTCCAGCCCTAATACCTACCCTGCTCCAGTTCCAGCCCTACAACCTACCCTGCTTCAGCTGCAGCCCTACTACCTACCCTGCTTCAGTTCCGGCCCTACTACCTACACTGCTCCAGCCCTACTACCTACCCTGCTCCAGTTCCAGCCCTACTACCTACCCTGCTCCAGCCCTACTACCTACCCTGCTCTACTTCCAGCCCTACTACCTACCCTGCTCCAGTTCCAGCCCTACTACCGGCCCTGCTCCAGTTCCAGCCCTACTACCTACCCTGCTCCAGCCCTACTACCTACCCTGCTCCAGTTCCAGCCCTACTACCTACACTGCTCCAGTTCCAGCCCTACTACCTACCCTGCTCCAGTTCCAGCCCTACTACCTACCCTGCTCGTGCCCTACTACCTACCCTGCTCCAGCTGCAGCCCTACTACCCACCCTGCTTCAGTTCCAGCCCTACTACCTACCCTGCTCCAGTTCCAGCCCTACTACCTACCCAGCTCCAGTTTCAGCCCTACTACCTACCCTGCTTCAGTTCCGGCCCTACTACCTACCCTGCTCCAGCCCTACTACCTACCCTGCTCTACTTCCAGCCCTAATACCTACCCTGCTCCAGTTCCAGCCCTACAACCTACCCTGCTTCAGCTGCAGCCCTACTACCTACCCTGCTTCAGTTCCGGCCCTACTACCTACACTGCTCCAGCCCTACTACCTACCCTGCTCTACTTCCAGCCCTACTACCTACCCTGCTCCAGTTCCAGCCCTACTACCGGCCCTGCTCCAGTTCCAGCCCTACTACCTACCCTGCTCCAGCCCTACTACCTACCCTGCTCCAGTTCCAACCCTACTACCTACCCTGCTCTAGTTTCAGCACAATTTCCTGATGTCCATCATAAGAAGGGGGTGGTTCTGATGGGTACTGAGGACATCCAGAATAAGCAGAATAGAAGTGTCCAACTTGCTGTCCTGGGTAATCCGGCAGGCCAGGGGGGTGCCCTGGTGAAATATCTCTTCTAGCTGGAAAATCTGCTTGGGAAGTTCCAGTCGAGGTTGGGTCAAACTCTGCACCAGGTTGTGGATACACACCAAATCTGTCATAATAAGGTGTTTGGGGGTATGGAATCTGCCCTCCTTGTTGAGGGTGGGGATAGTTAGGCTGTCCTTGACCAGGCCACTGTCCTTGCTGACCTGGATAAGGATATGAGGGCACCTGTTGACCCGTCTGTCCATGTCCTTCTACACTGGGGTGTTGTCCACTGGGGTGTTGTCCACTGTCCTGAGGTGGTCCTTGACAAGGCCCTTGACCCGGCTGACCTGAGTAAGGATGACCTGTAAAGCCTTGCTGATATGGCCCCTGAGGTCCTGTCTGTGTCTGTGGTAGCTGTTGAGTATTAGTGGAAGCAGGATCAGCTTTGAGGTCATCCACTCCTGATATATGCCCATCTGAAGGTAGGTCTGCTCTATCAGTGGCCTTCTTCAGATGTTCAGCCATCCTAGCTGCAGGATCAGGTGGCTTTCTGGCATCCATCTGAAGAGCAAGCACACAAAAAGGTCAAAAGGGAGTCAAAGGAAGAACAGTTTGTTTTTGCTGCAGTCAGTAAGTAATCATGTGTTCAGTATTCAGAGGGGCGGTCGGGTAGCCTAGTGGTTAAAGCGTTCACTCGTCACACCGAAGACCTGGGTTCGATTCCCCAAATGGGTACAATTTGGGAAGCCCATTTATGGGGTCCCCAACCATGATATTGCTGGAATATTGCTAAAAGCAGCATAAAAATTAGACATTTTCTGATGCTTGGAACTGTGAGAGAAGTGATCAATTTCTGGTAAAAACAATCCAATTCTGCAATTGAGATATTTGGCAATAACATATTTTGGTCCAAAATAATTTCAAAAAAATGTTTGGCAGCCCATGCTACATAAAACATCTTTCCTGTTTGGAGTCAAGGGTATTCTGGAACAGCCAACCTGTACCAACCCTGCATAGTATGGAAATTTGTTTGTTTTTTCGTTTGTTGTTTAAAGCCGCACTCAACAATAATCAGCTATATGGCAAGGTCTGTAAATAATCGACTGTCTGGACTAGACAATCCAGTCATTGATATCATGAGCATCGATCCACTCAATTGGGATATGATGACATGCATCACCTAGTTCAGCGAGCCTGACCGCCCGATCAGGTAAGTCGCCTCTTATGACAATCATAGTCGCCTTTTATGGCAAGCACGGGTTGCTGAAGACCTATTCTGTCCTGGATCTTCACAGATCATTTCTAGACAGTACTTTGATTACATAAGTGGGGAAAGTACATGCCTCTATCATCTCACATTACATCAAGACCCTCAGATTTGTGAAGATCATTGTTTTCACCATGGATATCCAGCCTAGGCCTATTTTGGAAACTTGACCACTGTTACTGCTAGGTCAATATAATCACTTACTATTTCGCTATTAACACAGCTTTTGTATTTTATACTGCTATTAAATTTTGTACTGCCATCGAAATAACTTTGCAGTAATTTGTATTGATTTGTAAACCCAGTTTATTAGATAGTACAATTGTTACTTGTAAACCATTTTGTTGTTGTCGGTTCACACTGAATTCTTTTAAGCATAGATTTCTGGGTTAACATATTGTTTTAATTTGGAAGTCGACACGTAACAATATTGCCATGTGTGATTTTACTGTACATGATTATCTTGAAATGGCAATAACAATGACATATGATTCATCCTCTGCACTACCGTCGATTCAGAAAACAATGCCTCACATCAATATTTCAGTGACTGTTTAAGTTCAAAGATCTAACGAAGATCTAAATCTGCAACAATTATTGTATTGTACCACAACTAAACTCTGTCATTCTTGTTGCATGTTGGTATTCAAAAACAGAAATACAACGCTAGTTTAGAAATAATAATTCAATGAGTATTTTTTTATGCATGGAACAGTTTCACAGGTCACTGTTTGAAATAATTATTAACCACTGAAGATCGCTAAATTGGCAACACCCCTAAACGATGGATCGACTTATGATTGACAACTCAGTTATATTAAATTATGGCAATTAAGATACCCTCCACCACACATTATATCTAACTAGTCATACTACAGAACTATGGCCTACTCAGTATAATGAAAAAATATTTATTGAACCCACAGGAGATCAAATGCCCACTACATTAACACAAAGATTAAACATAAACATTTAGCTAACCCTATCATTGTTTGTAATTGAGGCAATGGTTACAAGGCAGCTGCCAGTGTTCAGTGAGCGTTATGTGATGTATCATCTGAATATTAGCTGGTTAACGAACTTGCCAGCACCTCTTTCCATGGATGCAGCCCATGAGCTGATTCATTGGTTAAAAATAGAATAATGGCTGCATATATCCATTGTAATAATTGCATTTACCACATCAGTTTTCAAACTCATTTGAGATCATGACCAGTAGGACCAGTGTGCAAATTTTCATTTCTCAGACTTAAATCAGAGGTACCATTACCGTTTCGACCCAATAAGGGCCCCCACCCGTTCTGAAAATTTATAGTGAGTGAGTGAGTGAGTGAGTGAGTTGGGTTTAACACCGCTTTTAACAGTATTCCAGTTATATCACGGCGTGTCAGCTTAATGTGGGAGGAAAGCCCGAAGTGATGCAGGTCTCAGACGTTTACCACTTCGGTGAAACCCACGAGCACGGGTATCCCAGCTAACACACGACGTTGTCACAACATTGTGGAAAGGTTGTGGATTGGTAACGTCGTGAAATAACGTTGTCACAACGTTATTATAACGTCAACGTGCAACGTTATTTCACAACGTTATAACAACATTGCACATTCACGTTGTGAAAACGTTGTGCATCGGACATCGCACAACGTTTTGTAACTACGTTTCTGAAACGTCGGTGAAACGTTATAAAGTTTGCTTCTTGATAGTCATAAAGGAATAGAACTGCTTTATCAAAATCAACATGAATTTGTCAGAATACCAAGGCAGTAATGCATTACCTTTCTGTATATTCGGCATTTGAATTTTCATCTCTTAATACTAAAATTTCCTGAACGTAATTGCGTATCTCTATTACAACGTTAGTATCACGTTACATTGTAACGTTATTCCACAACGAAACAACAACGTTGCAAATTAACGTTGTGATAACGTTATGCTTTGGACATTACAACACTTTTTGTAAATGATGTTTAGGAAACCACTTGTAGATCTACCATCTCGTAGTTTGTTTTTTTTTAAACATATATATCTATGAACGAAGTTATCTGTCTACTAAATGTTGACTAAAGCAAAATTACAGTTAAAAACACATTGGCGCGCATTTTTTGCGGGGTGAGAGACCGCTGAAAAGTTTAGCCTGTTGCCTCGTGAAGTGACGTCAAAATGACATCACATTGTCGCGGAAGATTTGTTGTCACCAACCATCTTAGTTCAAACTCACTCTGGATATATTACAACCAAGTGATTGTGCAGCAACGGGAACTGGACAGATGATCTGTGAATTCGGATAAGGTAAGTTATTTTTCAAAAGCAGTCTCCGCTTGTTGATATGTTTCTGTACATGCAGATAGTCAAATGATTTAAATGTATCGTATTATTCAGAAGTGGCGGGGTTTAGAATGCAGTTTGCCGGTCACTTTCACTGAGCTGAGCGTCAGTGTTGATAGTAATATTTGATAAACAGAACGTGATGTATATAGAGGTGAAGGAAGCCCATGACTTTTTACCATATTATTATGTTATGGATACCAAGGGTAATTACCAAGGGCAAGCAGTAGGTATATGTTTGACCAGAATTCAGTCTGGCGGCGTTTTGTGGTCGTCATATTATGTTCGGGTTTCGATCATAAGCGTATAAGGTCTGTAGGCCTAACGTATGCATCGCCTACTGACCACTGATAGATTTCGCCATTTCTTCCGTGTTATTTCTGAAATCTGAAAGTTTACATGTACTTATATTCTGACTTTGATTTTTGTGAAACAATTTGGCTCATTCAGGCCATGGGAAAGGTTGAGTAGATTTCTCTTATACAGCGAAGAGAGGGAATCAAAACAATGGAAGTATTTTCAGATCGACTCTCTGTAGGCTGCTAGTTATAGCCCTAGTCTAAAGCGCTCAATGATGTTATGAAAAATTGTATTTTCGGGAAGAGACAGAAACATACTTGTTGTTCCCGAAAAGGCCCAATTAGCACTGACTGAAGTAGCCTAAATGTGGATCATCTGGTTGTTGGTGCTGTCTATAAAGTTTATTTGAGCAAGGCGCTTATCATGTGTATTTTTAATATTTCCAAAAAAAAGAATCAATTCATCATTTTCCGATAACTAGATCTATGTCCGACTCCCTTCTAATGAAAACGAGCAAACGTAAAACAAGTCTCGTCGCGCGCTATAACGGGGTGTTTGCGGTATTGTTCTCGCTGGTGATGATAAGCTAGTAGATAATCAAAAGTTAAATATCACCATACATTGTCAGTGATTTTGTCATCGTTTGTTGATTATTAAGGTGAGATAGGTGTAGATCTAGTCAATGTGCACCAATGAAAAATACAATGGAATTGATAGCAACCATATTCGTTCGGTTTTCGATCTCCGTACGTTGCAAGGTAGGCTACCATACTACAGAATTATATTTAACGATATTGAACTGTATTATGTTAATAAACGTAGTCAGTATATGATACTTGGTTCTCTGAAACGTTTTGGCAATGAGAGAGAATAAAATGGTGATCGAAAACTGAACGAGTAAGTTCCAGTGCTAGCTACGAAATCGTACTGTAGCTAGATCTATATAAACAGCGCTGCGATGAAGATGTGAGTCGTAATTAGCTACAATGCCTGTCAAATATATATGTTCCCGTTTGGATTCCGGTTTAGAAAAGGTCCCCAACAAACCATGTTTGTACTAACATGATTATGTGTCATTGTACTCTGACAGAGGTTGTGAGACGTGGCTCACTATAACAATCACTGGTTTGTCAGACCGGTGTATATGTAAAACCAAATTACATTAGGTGTTTTTTTTAAGATGGTACTCATAATTTTGTTACTTATATCTGTAGCCTGAGTTTATTTCCGATCGGACCTTATACATGAGGACTTTAGATTTACAGTTTTCCTAAATTTTAGGCAATTATACAATGTATGTTATCTTTTTGTTTAGACTACAGATCTAAATGTATGCTTATTGAATATAGTTTTAGTTTTGACTTTTTTAATATGTTTTCGTTGCAGCAAGGGGGAAAATGTTACACGACCATTCCAGGAGATAAAATCAAGAATGTTGAATCATTGAGGAACACACCAAATAAACCCTGGGCTGTGAATTATGTTAACGTAAGTACAATTGTTTACGGTTACATTCCATTGTCTATATCAATGTTAATTGGTGGGGTTTTTCTTGCTTGAAATGAATGCTAAGAATGTAGATCTATTTATATAAATCTATGCTCGTACCACGTTTTGTATTCAACCTGATTCTTGATGTCTCTGAATGAATGTTAAAATTTGTTTCCAT